AAGGTGTATATGGCATAGATCCTATGCCATAACTTACTAAGTGAGCACATCTGCGAAGACTCTAACTAACCTACCCTATCTCAGCTTAACCAACCACATAGATTGTTGTGCTAAAAAAGGGCTAGAGAGAACCATGTATGCAATGTGTGGGGAACTTTTTGCCCTCCAGATGTTGATGACTTACAACTCCCCTCATCTCTGGCCACTGGTCATACTTTCTGGGGCCAATAAGAGTTTTAATTCAGCAACATCTGGAAGGCCAAAGGTCCCTCACTTCTGAACTTTATGGAGTAAGACATATCACGTTGTGTATCTCCTGGCCTCACCAGTCAATGATATGAAGTGGGCAATCATACATAGAAATATAATCTTTTTATTTTTAACTATGTAAAATGAAATTGACATGAATACAAAGCTCCATTTGAAAATAAACTTCAATATGAAAGACTCCACTATTTCAAACTGAATACACAGAGAATATTCAGAGAATATTAGCATTTGAATTTTGGATGGTGAACTATTTTAGGAAACCCTCCAGATTGCCTTTAACTTATATACCGTTCTGTAAGACTACAAAACAAATTTGCTACCACCAAGAGAGGAGTTTAAAAGCTTTTTATTCCACTGTGTAGTTTCTTCGGTTGTAAGCCACCTTAAGGACCACTTCAATGAAAAGATGGGATATAAATCTTTTAAATAAACAATAAATCTTTGAACTCAGTTTGAGATGTGATGCCAGAGGGCTGAGATTTCAATGCTAAATATTAATCTGAGCATGGCTCACTGCAGTTAAAATAATAAAGCAAAAAGGCAGTGAATTAATCAAACTTCAAAAATAGAGCCTACTGAATTATAACACCAATTAATAATTTATGATAGCAGCACACGATACGACAGTTCCCAGATCAGAGAGACCAACGAAAAGAAGAGGCATTTGATAAGCTTTGGATAAAGATAGAAACTGATCCAGCAAGTTTTAAAAGGTGAACTTTCCACACAATAACAAGTAGGGTTGTTTGGGGTTTTTTTGCCGAGTAAGAGCCGCAGAGCCAACTGAGCTTTCTTCCTGAGGAAATCTTAAGGATCTACAGTTCAGCCAGTGGCTTCTTAGTAGTTTGCAGCCAAGAGAAGGTGGGATGTTTCGAAGACAGTGAAAGAAAGGTAGAGCTCACCCACTGCTCCTATTCAATCTGTTTTCAGGACTCCACAGGAGTACGTATATGAAAATGTAGCTACTGTACTTCTTTCGGTGTATTTGAAGCTGCAGAGTTTATTGTCTGCCAATAAGCATTCAAGTCTTGAACCTGTCCATCCAAACTTAGGTGTTACTAGAGAGCGAAGGTGGGCATGTGTCTCCTCTAAAAATGCTCCCCTTTCTTCCTCTTCTGCTGGAAAAAACACCCTATTGGTAACGGATGGCCAAAGTGGGAACCACAACTGCTGATTGAGCCCAACAAGCCATATCTGCTTCCCACTCACCTCACACAGTGTTTGTTGTGAGGGAAGAAGGAGAATGTTAGCGGCTTTGAGACTCCTTCAGGTAGTGATAAAGCGGGATATCAAATCCAAACTCTTCCTCCTCCTCCTCCTCTTCTTCTTCTTCTTCCACCTCTTTTTTCTGAGACATGCTGCAAGTGGCAAGGTTTTGTGGCTGTAAAAACCTATTTGACATCATATCATATTCATCCCACCCACTCCTAATATTACCACCGAATCCGACATAATTGAGACAAGGTCAATGCAAGCATGTGGAGGTTCTTGCACAAGGATATGTCTGTCTTTTGTAGATATTTATCGAAGCATTATCAATTGGATTTTAGCACAACAAATGCAAATTTGCTTGCTCATTTGCTGTGCATAGTCTAGTGCTTTCTATCTTGAGGTCATTCTTCTGTTGCAGAGATACTGCATTTTCTGAGCGACAGATGAGCTGTATTTTGTACCTGATGAAATGTGATGCTTTCCTTAGACAGTGCATCCATCGCTGTTGCACAAATGGCATGCCATTTAATTAATACTGTCTATGATGACATAACGCTGAACGATATCTGGAAAAGTTTACAGCCAAGGGAACTTTACAAGGTGCTGCTTATCAGCATCTGAGCTTTCTTTTCTAACTAGCTGCAAGCTGTACACCAGGTGTGGGAATCTTTGGGCTCCCAGTTGCTGCTGAACTATAACTCCTATCATCCCATGCCATTAGTGTGTTCAACAACATCCGGAGGTCCAAATGTTTCCCACACCTGCTGTTCATCATAAAGTAAGTTTACTAAGGAGAAGAATATTGCAACCCAGTCCCAGAACTCAGTCCATTAGACTCTGAATTTGAAAATCTGACAAAATGTAACGCTAATGGTTACAAAAATGTTCAGTTTGATAAATTCATGTTTCTGCGCAACTGCAGCAGAACTTGCAAATGGAAATATGTGAAACAATTGTTGTGGGTAAGTTACTGCATGTCAGTTCATCTTATATGTCAGATTCTTAACAGCTTGTGACAAAATGTAAGGCATCACCCCTTTCCCTTGCTCTCTAGCATTTAAACTGTACACATAAACACTGAGCATGTTTCTATATTATACATGCCTCACCAGCCCATTGATCTTATATTTTTTTTATGAATCACTTTCAGTTTATTGTGTAATATTGCAGTTCCAATTGCAGTAATTTGGACAGTACTGGGATGATATAGGCATTGATCCTGAAACACAGTAAATATTTTGTATCATATGATTTAGATGAGTCTGTTTTACTCAGACTGAATAGCACTGTAGACACTGAGAAAACAAATTTATGCAGCAATTTTCTTTCAATCAATACTTTGTCATCTAGAACTGACTCATCTCTAACCCATGACATGGAAGTCTCCCAGTCCTATTTCTATGATGTCTACTACCAATTTATACTGTAAGGTAAAGGTAAAGGGACCCCTGACCATTAGGTCCAGTTGTGACCGACTCTGGGGTTGCGCGCTCATCTCACTCTATAGGCCGAGGGAGCTGGCGTTTGTCCACAGACAGCTTCCTGGTCACGTGGCCAGCATGACTAAGCCGTTTATACTGTAGCATCTTGTAAATAATTGTTCAGGCTCTGTTTCTCTAACATCTACTGTATCTCTCCAGTTACCCTTTCCCCCCCTATTACTATCCCAAAACCTGAGTAGAACAGTCGCTTGTAGCCCTGTGATCATCCCAAGGCAAATCTGTTTTGACTTGGTTTTCGCTAACGCCCAGAGACCATGCTAGTGCCAGGCTCGCTGGCTACCCCCACGCCTTCATTCAAAAATGCATCCTTCCAATGCTTCCTTTCATTAAAGAAACAAACAAACCCTGTCAAGCTTCCTCAGAGGTATTTGCATAAAACATGCAGTTTGACCCAGAAGAGGACTGTGTCACACTTTAGCATTGTTATCCAAAGCTACTGAAATGCACTGTTCTGCATCTTACGCCACTTTCTGATTTTTTCTATGAACTGTACTCCCTGTGTGCATAATTAATCCTTGTGGTGTTAAGGCAAGAATCACGGTTTGTCCCTGAAGAGTTGAAAAACTAGTAAGAAATAAGATACTTTAAAGAAACTCATATTTATGTCAAAAAATGTATAATCACATTTCAACTTTTCATTCCACCCCATACCACATTCTTGTTCTCTTTTCTTTTCTTCTCATGATGTTCCAAGAGGTTCTACCTATATTTCTCTACTTGACTGTTGTGTCCCCTGGGTGGAAAACTACTCTTTTTTCGCTAACGCAAAAGAAACAAGTGAAAACAGAAAGATGGGTGGGAATCTCATTTAAACTTACAAGGAGAACTGAATCCCCTGCAATGTGATAGCATCACTGGAGCTCTATTAAACTATAATCTAACTTGTTTCCTGATGAATCACTAATCTGCCTCTGCTCTAAAAATATCAGTCAGGAAGTAAAGAACAATAGGGAAGGTACTGGGAGTCCTTCACTGAATTACTATCTTGATTATATATGTAACATTTTCATTGCCAAGAAAAAGTGAGCATGTCATGTTTGATGCCCCACAACTGCCATAGAAAAATATATCTTCCAAACAGACTATTTACTGAGCCATCAATTTCTCTAGCACAATGCTGGCGCCATTTATTACAAATTACAATGTAAGATCCAAAGAAACCCTAAATAATCCATATGCTAATGTCACCAAGCTCAATGAATGAACATGCTCTGATCCTGCAGCTTTAAGAATTTTGTTAGTGGCAAAATTCACTAATTCGCACAGCTTTTCCCATCACAAAGCGATGGAAGAAGTCACACCCGTGATAGTTGTCTATCCACTGTATCCACTCATGCCATATTAAGTTGGTAAGTCATTCAGGTGCCACAAGACTCCTTATCCTTTTTAAAACTTTTTAAAACTTTTTTTTAACTAAAACTGGGAAGGTATTGTATGTTGCAATTCTGAAAGCATCTAAATATGTCTCTCTGCAGTCAGTTCAATTATGAGTTCTGTCATATAGTCAGTCCTATTAATACTCACTTTATTCTGGTAAAGTCTCCCGTAAGGCTGCAATCCTACCTGGAAAGTATAAGACTCATTGAACAAAATGGTATTTACTTCTGAGTTAAAATGCATAGAATTTGGTGGATACTTTCTGGTCCACTGCAGAAAAAGCAGGTTTTTGTTTCAAGAGTGCACAGCATTCTTCATTTTTGGGCACTTCCATGCTAGCCATTTACTTCATGCTTGCAGTGTCCCAGGCACTCATTTTTAGGTATATTTCTACATGACGTCATGCTGGAATTCAGCATGTCTTGATTCAAACCCCTCCCCCGCCTAACATATTATATAGCTTTATCTAAGGGGCGGGGGGGGGGAGATAAGACCAGTAAAATCACAAAAACTAGACAATTCAAAGTGAAACTATTTCATATTGTTGTAAATTGCCCTGTGATCTTTGGATAATTCAGGTGCAGCTGTCACACACACACACAGTCCTGTGTGAGTTATTGTGCCACCAATAATAGAGGCATGCCAGGCTTTTCAATGAAGCGTAAGTCCTACTCCACCATGAAAAAAAACATTCAGGTCCAGCTGTCACCTCCATCCGCTACTATAGGTGCTGCATGAGTTATAAGTGTGGGCAGACAGTGACAACTGTACAACAGTGAACTTCATGTGGGCATACAATTCCAAAATCCCTGCTGTACTTTGTGATTTGTACATACGCTCAATGAGGTGAAGCAGATAGTCAGTGGGAAACATTAAGAAAGGGAGAGGGCCTACATATGCAAAACAGGCGCACTGAGTCATGCACTGGTGTGGACAGGATACAGCAGACGTAAATACATAAAATTCATAAAGGTGTGTGCCATTCCTGATCCAGATTAAAGCAGAATAAGGGGAGAAAGAAACTGGCAGAAGGCTTCTGTGTAGAAGTATCCTTAATAATTACTGCTTCGCAAAGCAGAGGGCTAAGTCCTGAAACAAAGTCAATGCTGGTGCTGAGTCCTACTGCAAATTAAGGCTTGATGGAGTATGTTAGGAGTATTTTGAGCCTAACTGCTCAGTAGTAGAAAGCAGCAGAGCTCAAGCTTGCTTTGAAACCAACTAGGGGTTATTGCTCCTGATTCACCAGATGTGAATTAGGCTGTGGCTGTTCAAGGGCGTGAAGGGAATGTTCTGTTTGGGCTCACAAGCACTCTGTGATGGTGGTATAAGCATTGTTAAGGCATTTCTACAACAGATAAAAAGCTGGACATAGTACATATGCAGTTCAGGAAACTGATCAGAAGAAATGTCTGAATATGAGACTCCCCACAATACCCAACACTAAAAAAATCAAGATGTTAAGTCTGAGCACTGCAAATTTCTCCTGTCTTCTGTTCTCACCTTGGTCCCCTCCTGTCTATTCAGCACTCTGTTTTGACATGCAACACCTCTGCTTAGAATCTTCATAGCCTTGCCCCTTTCTGATTGCTCTGCTTTTGAATCCTGTACATCCCTGCCTATTTATTTACTTATGTCCAGGACAAAGTATCTAGGTGAACATAACATATCCATAAAACTGCAAAAATACTTAGCCAATTCCTGGACAATGATGCACAATAACTGATTGTTGAGCTATACATCTTAAAAATGCTTAAGTAGACTTAAGTAGCCATCTGAAATGATTCTTGCTAAAGAGTAATAGGCAAGAAGTTTAGTGTGTGCAGACACTAAATATCCTCTGTTTTGTAGAAGCAAGGCAAACATCACGTGGCATCCTTAACCGTGCCTCCCTGGCTGAATGTAATGATGGAGCAGATTTATATGGGGCAAGGCAGTGCCTCAGTTAACTGGCCCCAACCTGTTCAGGGTTTTATATACTTCTAGCAATACCGGAATTTGGTCCATTAACATTTAGACAACCAATGCAGATCCTTATGCAGAAGTGCTATAAACTGTTGATGGGAATCTCCCACCAGCAGCCAGACAGTTGCATTTTACACAATTTGTGGCTTCCTGACCAAACACAAAGGAAGTCCCACATAAAGTAATAGTGTAATTTTGAGATTACCAATGCATGAAGCACAGAGACCAAGCTAATCTTGATCCAGGAATGGCTGCAGCTGTCTTACCAGATGAAGTTTATAGGTGGTCCTAGTCACTGAGACCATTTGGGCCTCTAGTGATAAAGATGGATGCAGAAGGACCACACTTCAGACCTGTTTCCTTAGCATAAGCCCATCGAGGATAGACACTTTACCTGTCTCCTAAACACAGAAACCACTCACCCACTGTGCCTCCATCTTACTGGGACTCAAACTCTGTTTATTGGCCCCCATCCATCCCACCACTGCATCCTGGCATTGGTCCAGGGCTTGCACAGTCTCACCTGATTCAGATGTAATAGAGAAGTACGGCTGAGTGTCATCAGCATACTGATGATTTCCCACCCGAAAACTCCTAATGAAGCTTCCAACAGATTTATATAGCTATTTAAAAGCATTGGCGATAAAATGGTGCCCTATGACCTTCACTCGTCAATCTCCATAATCCTCAATTGTCCCAAGTCTCCAGCTTCCTCAAATGAGTCCATCCTTTGTCCTTTGCTGACCCTTTAGCCTAGAACTCAGACACCAGAAGGACATCTGCGTTATTTCCTTGAAATCTCTCTCAAACCCCCCTTTTTTGAGCGAAGCCTGGACAATTTATTTCACACTGACCTGAAATCAAGCTTAAGTACTGAAATAAACACATTTTATACTCCTGGCTCCATCTTCCACTGCCGCCTGCCCTGTACCAAACTGGAAACTCTTCGGGGCAGAGATCTGTCTTCTTACACTTTGTAATGCACCGTGTTTGTGGATGGTAGCAATGATGATGGTGAACAGGTCAACATGGAAATATTGACCAAATCAGCGCCAATATGGGACAGAATGGAAGATGGAATCTCTCTCTCTCCCACTCTCTCTCTCACACACACACACACAGTGTATATACAAGCGCACAGAAGAAATGCAGGCAGGATGCGCTTGAAGCGCTGCTCAGTCTGTGGCCAGGATTAGCCAGGCTGGCCGTCACGCAGGGCCGGAGGGAACCACCCAAGGCGCGCCCCAAGCTCTCAGCTCTCCCTTTCCTTGCCAACTGCCCGCCAGCCCGGACTCGCGGCGCTGCAATCCTCCCTCCCCTTTCACTTCCTTCCCCCCCGCCAACTCCACGCACACGCTCCACACACCCAAGCGCGCTCGCGCTCTGTTGTTTGTCCCAGGGAACCCGGGACCACGTGGCCTTGCCTGTGGCGTGCCCAAGGCCTGGCTCGCGCCCGGGCCCCGGTGGTTGGCTGGGACTTTGGTTGGCGGGCTGATTGGCGGGCGAAAGAGAGAGAGAGAAAGAGGTGAGAGGAAAGAAGAGCCCCTTTGCTTGTCACTAGGCAGCAAGGCTCGCCGTTCCAAGGCGCGCGCACGCACGCACGGGGTTGCCTGGAGACAGGGGCGCGCGGGAAGAGGAAGGGGAGGGGAAGGACAGAGAGGAGGAGGGGGAAGAGGAGGGGGGATGTTACGCGGTGACGTTAATTCTATATGAGCGCGAGCGGCGGGAGCTCGGGTCTTTTTACCGCCAGCCGCGCGGCGCTTCTCCCTAGCTCCTGAGTCACTGCGAGACCCGGCCTCGCGCAGGTAGGTAAGCGGGGCGCGTGGGCTCGGAGGGTGGGGGCCTCCTGTTACAATAGGAGGCGGTTGGTGGCGGGGGAGGGAGGGGGAGCCTCTGCCCTGGCTTGGAGGGGATCTCGCGCTCTGCTCTGAGGCGGAGGGGGAGAAAATAGGGAGGGAGCAGAGGCGGCCTCCTTCTCTGGCGGCCCCTCCGCTGGCGGGGAACGTTCCCCCACCGTGGCCATTCTCGATGGGGCGCCGTGGGGGGCAGTACGTGCGGGGAAAGGCCCGCCCGTCTCCGCTTCTCCCTCGGGGCGAGGCTGCGGTCAAGCGGGCCGCCCCGGCTTGGCCTAGTCTGACCGGCTGAGCCACAGGCGAGCACGTGGGGACGAGACGCGGCTCTGGCTGGGCGGCCTCCGCCTCCCCTCTCGCCCGCCCGCCCGCCTCGGGCATGTTGAGGAGAAAGGAGCCGCGGCGCTGTGGTGCCGAAACGTAAATAAGCCTCGCGGCGACTGTGGCGGGTTGGGAGGGCGGAGAAGCGGGAGGGAAGCGGAGGGCCTGATGGGGAAGGGGAGGCACCGCGCCTGGGCAGGGCTTGGAGGGGGGGCGCTTGTGGCGGGAAGGTTGAGAGTCCCTCCACGCTTCCTTCTGTTCGGAGGAGAGGCGAGACTGGCCAGAGCAGCTCCGGGACGGCTGCGTGTGCTCGAGGAAAGGCTTCCCCACGGCGGAGCCTGGCCGGGCTGCGTCCGCCAGGTAGTAAACAACCGCTGGCCTCGGTTTCCCGCATTTTGTGTGCCCTTCTTGTCGCTCTTGGAGATTGAAAGGCTGCAGGGTGAGTGCGTGTGAATAAAAATGGGCGTTTCGCTCTTTTTGAGGTGTCAACTAAGTGTAACAAATAACCGGCCGTTTCTGGCTCGGGGGGTAGTTGTGCTGCCTTTAAATTATTCCAACCGCCCTTTATTAGGTGCTTTTTTAAAGGTGCCACAAAACCCGAGGTTTTCTTTTTATATGGTTAGTTTACAGGCGCCTGGGTGGGTTGCACTGAAGACGAGGGCACGGGGAATGACGCTGGGCGGAGGCAGGGAGGCTTACGGTCTTGAAGGTACTGCCCACTGCCGCCTTGGTTTTCAACTGGCAGATGGATCATCGCACGTGGGTTGCGTCTGATCCAAGGTGGGTCTCTTCTTGAAGCGGTGGATTACGGGTCCGGAGAGACGTGCCATGTAAAATATTAAAAGAAGGGTCCGTGTTGTGGGTTAGGTTAAAAGTGGGTCTGAAAAGGCAGCAAAAGACGGATTTGTCTCTGTAATGATAGGTTGGCTAAGTGGAAAATCTTGTTGTGGAACGAAGACCTTCAAGACATGGCTGTTTTCTGTAGTCTTTGTTTAACATCCAGCAACAGCCTGTAGATGGTCAGATAAGTGCTGAGAAGGCCTGACACTCGGCTTTTCTTAAATTGTAAATACCAAGCAAATCAGGCTTTAAAATTGGCTTGGATTTCAAACAGTGGGTTTCAAGGTTCATATTTACCTTGAAGATCTCATTGAACAATGGATGTTGAGTTTTTCACAAACAGGGATTTTAAAGATCAAAAGTGACCCTTCTAGGCTCCATGTTGTGTGTCTGGCCTAATATTAAATTTTGTATATGGACACTAATGTCAATTTTTGTGGCCTTAGTATAGTTGCTACAGCAGTATAGGCAGTGTAAAAACATTATATAGATTTGTTGGTAACCTCAAGCAAGTCACCAGTCTGTTTCAGTTACTCTTCTGAGGGTAGATTTGCAGAATTGTAAAGCACTTTGTTCCCCATGTTATTCAGATATTCATAGCAGGCAGTGATGAAACATTCAGAATAACAAAGTCTTAGTTTAATCAGTTTAACAGATTCCCATTGTGTGTGTTTTAATAGAGGTCTAAAGCTGGAATTCTTTTAGCAGTTAATTAGGAGCAAGCCCTGGTGAACTTGGTGGGACTTACTTCTGAGTAGACATATAGGATTGTGCTGTTAGTGAATGCATTGTGGCTTAATTCCACATAGGTGTGCTTAGGATTAACCATGCTTGGCTTGCATATCTCATAAGGCTCGAAATTGAAAGGGGTATACAATTGATATTACTTACCACTGTGTAGTTCAAATAAGAATTGCAAAAGTGACCCTTCAGGTGTTTCTGTGCTTCAGGATTTAATAAAGTATGATTTAATAAACTAAATAATAAACATTCACACTTAAGATGGAGGAGAGTTGCTCTTCAGGACTAGGTAAAGGGGTTATGTTTAAAGTGATGGTGGTTACATTGGGTATTTCTTAGGCCCCTCAAGATGGTGAAATGTGTATTTCAACAATACTATGTGAGTTGAAATTTGTTTGAGATTGATAGTCCTATGTAGGTGTTGTGCCCATAAGTAAGAGGTATCGCAATATGGCGTGGAAGATCCCTGTTCCCCTTCCCCTGTGACAGTGCATGCACAGATGCTGTGTGTCTAGGTGCAAAGGCCCTGTATGATTTTTATCTTGTTCAGCTGTTTGCATTCCTTAACCTATGGGTGAGGGGAGCTGAACAGGAGTATTGGAGTTCTGCACAGACCTCCATTTTCTGTGTTCCCATGCATGTGTGCCATGAGGATGCATGGCACTTTTGCATTGGGGGGGATCCCTCTGCATGTGCTTGTGGTCTGATTTGAGGTTTCTATCTTACCTTGTCTCGGAAGGTTGCAAATGGCACCATGCATGTACCTTTAAATAAATGACAATCCTGGTTTACCTTAGTACAGTGACTTCACTGACTCATAGCATCAACAGAAGTGATACTTAATGAAACTTGTGTATCAGGGTCAATGCATGGAAGTTAGACTGCATTTTGGAACTATAGTGCAGAGATGTAATAATTTTATCCAGCCCAGTAGAGAAAAGAAGAGGAGGAGTTTGGATTTGATATCCCGCTTTCACTACCTGAAGGAGTCTCAAAGCGGCTAACATTCTCCTTTCCCTTCCTCCCCCACAACAAACACTCTGTGAGGTGAGTGGGGCTGAGAGACTTCAAAGAAGTATGACTAGCCCAAGGTCACCCAGCAGCTGCATGTGGAGGAGGGGGGAAGCGAACCCGGTTCACCAGATTATGAGTCTACCGCTCTTAACCACTACACCACACTGGCTCTAGTGCATCCCTATCTACTATAAAAGTGCTTAATATGGGTAAAAATTGTTGAAAGAAGGTGGCACTAGGTAGACTAGTAGCAAACTATGCATAATGTTGACAGAGGGAACTGGCCAAACACTGAGACCAAAATACAGCCACACCTGCTATGATGCTGTTCTGCCTTTAGTTCATATGACTCTTCTATGTCCGAACTCTTTTATTTGTTCTTTAGCAGTTCTTTTTTGTTGACAAAGTAACTCCAGGTCTCTCTTTACCATCTTGAAAGCAGCACTTTTTACACTTTGATGACTAGTGTATGTATTTCTGCTAGTCTTTTTAACATACTGGTAGCACAGTACAATGTCACAACTTGTTCTATTCACCAGTAAGGTCTCCTGATACGAGTTTGTTTTCATAGTTCAATTAAGTATAAAATTATTTCCTTTACAACTCAATCCTTCTCTATTGATTATATTGGCAGGAATTCTATTTTTATGTTGTAAGGATTGTGTGAGCTGTGACCAAAATGTTTGGGGAAAGTCTCAGAAAACAAGTAAGGAGGGGGCACTTAGAAGCCTTTGTCTTTCAGTTCCGTTGAATACCAGGAACGGAATATAATGTGTGAAAGTTTGAGGTGGAAGAATTAGTTGCATACTGCTCCTCAAGTTGTCCTTTGCCTTTGTCCACTTCTAGAGGCTATCCCCCCTTTACATTGAAATGCCTGTTGGAACATTTAACCTACTGCATGTTGATTGAATGGATCTGAGAGGGTTCTAGTGTACTGTTCTTGAATATACTTTGTTACTTCTAAATGATTGGCAGCAGTCCCTTGTTCAGTTTGGAAGCTCTAGGAAATACAGTGGATGCTCGGCTTGCGAACGTGATCCATGCGGGAGGCACGTCCGCAGCGCCGTGCTTGCGCATGCATGGGTTGCGATTCAGTGCTTCTGCGCATGTGCGACCGCCGAAACCTGGAAGTAACCCGTTCCGGTACTTCCAGGTTTTGGCGCGTCCGTAACCCCCCAAAAAACACGCTAGCTGAAGCGTCTGTAACCCGAGGTATGACTGTAGTTCTTAAGAACATAGTTCTTAAAAACATAGTTGTCAGATATATGGACTGCAACTTGTAACATTCCCAGCTAGGATTGAACAACAGACTTGTTTGAATCCCACACTGAATCAGACTGATTTGTGCTGAATCAGGATAGGGTCAAGGCAGCTATAGAACATGTCAGGTAGACCCAAATTGATTTGTAGTGATATGTGCTGATCTAGAGCTCAAAACTCCAGATAGACTGCCTCCAAAGTTGTGCAATTATTGCAACATCATATAAGGAGAACATCTAAGTGAGGTAGGAGCGGGAGAGGAGCAGGGCATTGTTCATTAAGGGTCAGAATCTCATCCAGCATTGTCTCTTAGGAGTTCTGACTCTTAGAAGTAGTTTGGTGGCATTTATGTTCTTTTTCCTGCACAGTACTCTACCTATCCTTAGGCTTATTCGTTTTCCATTCTTTGTTGATCAATCCCAGTCCCATACCTACACAATAACATAAACATATTTGTCTTTGTCTTAGCTACTTAAGCTGTGTCACACACCCCTCCCATTTGGACCCTAGTTTTTTAAGGTTAGGTTTGCATTTTATTTACATCGGTATTCTGTTTTCTGTGTCTATTTGTGCTTTTGTGTTGGTAAGTCTTCAAAGTACATTGTGTGTAGTCGGTACACAAGGAGCACACATACAGTATAATAGCGCATACATCAGCATTTTAATTTTTTTTCAAAAAAGCAAACTTCAGAGATGGCTAGCACAAAACACCTAGAGGTACTAGTCTTAAATTTGGCAGGGTTAATCTCCTTTTGAGAAGCTATTCTATCTCCAGATTTCATGCACCTAGGTGAAAAAACAAATTTATGGTCATTTTGATTTCCTGGTGTAAGTGAATTGGAATACAGTGGTACCTTGGGTTACGAACCGTCCTGCTTACGAATGCTTCGGGTTACGAACTCTGCAAACTCGGAAGTAGGTGTTCCGGGTTGCGAACTTTGCCCCTGGATACGAACGTAATCCGCTTCTGGGGCCTATGTAGGGAATATGCGCCTTGGGTTAAGAATGGACTTCCGGAACGAATTAAGTTCGTAACCTGAGGTACCACTGTACAAGTTTTGGATTTTAGGTAGTGTAGTATATGAGCTGTGTATTCTATGGGGCATCCACTGAAATAATTTTCTGTGTGAGATACTGTCATCTTAAAGGGTGTAATGGCAGTAATAAAGTTTGGATCATTACTGATTTTTTTCTTAATAGGACCTGTTTGTTACATCATAGAAATATTAATTTTCAGGGTGTTTTATCTTGAGGTCTGCATACTATTTCTATTTCTCAATAATACATATTTTAGTTGCTCACAGTACTGATGGTTTTTATTTTCACTTTATTGATGTATTTTCTATTTACTAACTGGGAATATTAGTCTTGTTCATGCTAGGGTACAGCAGCATACAAATCTTATCTCTGGCATGTTGTAGTAATTTTCAGTATTTTTTTCATAAGTCTATCCAAGTACTGTACTATTTTATACATAAACTAGATATGAATCTAGTAGCATCAGCATGCTTGTAAATTGACCTGCTCATTCAGGTGGGACTTACCCTTCCTTTTGGTCCCCTGCAGACCCAATGTGCCCCCAAAACCTGCTCTGGATGTTGGATGACCCTCAAGAGCTCATGGGAGGATAGTAGAGGACTGTAGAGGGAGACCATCTTAACATGTACATAAAATATTTGGGGAAAATTGTTCCAAATATTTTAAAGTCTCTTTTAGGAAATACATTTTATCCCCCCACCCCCATGGTTTCAGAAACTAATATTTCTATACCATTTAATGTTTAGATGTGTTCTTTAGTACATTTCGGTTGACATACCATCTTCGCAAATTGCCCTGTCAAATATGTACGTGTTTACTTTAAAAAGAGAAATTCATATGAAAAGAGTAGATAGAATTACATTTGAAGCAACTTTGGATCTGGCGATCCTTTGTGTTTAACCAAATATGCTGTCTTGCATTCATCTTCATTTTCATTTCTTAAGCTGCCTTTAGACTTCAAACCATAAGGTACATATAACAATACTTTTTCTCCCTTCTGCCCAAGAGCATCTCAGATAAGATTTGCTTCAAAGCTAAAGAGAAGGTACCATGCTTATGTTAATTATCATTTTCTAGCAGGTTGAAGCTAACAGCAATGACAAAGTATGAATGTTATTGTTTGAAATACATTAACTTCTGCAGATTGCTTTCTAAAGAATAAACTTGTACCAGGAATAGTTTTATAGAAGGCCATCCAACTACAATGTTTTCACTAAGTAAGACAGCTACCTATCACAAACTTGAAATTTACTCCCCATCCACCCAAGAGTTCAAAGAGGAAACGTACAGTCCAGTTGAAAGCTGTGAGGAGAATTTCAAGGGAGGGGAGGGGGAAATCACTGTTATGTCTTCCTTTACCCCAAGTCTTTGCAGACTTGAGCATTGTGCAGATTGATTTTACCCCCTAGAAAAATCTAGCCATGGTTTTGCACTTTAAAAATCTTATGTATATGTCATGGTCTTTTTTTTAAATTTTAAAAAGGACATCCTGCATGCAGGAAGTGACAGGGCTCATGCCTAACCCAAATTTTTGTTAGCAAGTGTTCATATTCTGACATTTCAGGATGAAACGGGCTGTTCATTTGGCTGAGAACCTGCTTCTACTGTATTACATCTATTTTCACTTATTCCATTAATATAGAAGTGCTTTTGTAACTTAATTCCTATCAATATTTTAGTTGTCCTCCAAGTTTAATGTAAGTATATTTAACTGTGCTTAAGAAATGAGAGTTTGAACTTAGGGTTTGGTCTTTATAAGCAGCTGTTCTGATCATTATTGGTAAAGCCTGATGACACTACCAAGCAAGGCTTCAGAGTGAGCCCTGGCATTGTCAGCATGTCTTGCTACTTTGTGCCAGCAACTCTGGCAAGGCAGAAAACTGTTCTGGAATCTCTGTTGAAGGTCTCTTGAATATCACTGCTGCTTCTGTCCTAGTGCTGGGGTGAAAATACTTGATAGAAAATTCTGATAGAGAATTCCAATGAGAGATTAAATGACTTGCTCTGCAGTGCAGAAGGAATGAATGATGGAGAAACTGTAGTTCTGGAAGATTCGTGGATATTAGGGTTTTTGATGAGGGGCAGAATCATTTATTGAATACCACTGTTGAAAATGTGGTAAGGTCACATACTTGCGGATACATAAGTTTGTGAAGAATAAATGAGAACTTTCAATAATTTCCACATTCTTTTAACCCCCAGCATGCAAGGCTCGGTTGTACATCATGAATCTACTCTTTCCCATCTCTTACTCTTCTTTTTTTATCCTTACATATTTTTATTTTTTAAAGAAAATGGAAGTTGCTGGTTGCAACTCATCTCTGGGATGCAATCATTGATCACATAGTGAAGACTCAGGCACTCTTGATAAATCCTAAGCCATGCCACTGTTGCTTCTATATTTGCACTCCAACCATAAGAACAGTTCCTCCTGTGCTCCAGGAGGCTCAGTTGAAGTTCTTCCATGGCCTTTGTTACTCCCATTTAAGATGCATCTGATGGCTTGGCTTGCAGAGCATCTACTCAAGAGTGAAGAGCAGTGTTCAAAATTCACCAAGCTCATTTTGCACCTGGCCATCGGCCACTTGCAACCACGTGAAGATGCCTGGGCTGACTGACATCTTCACCATCTGGAAGCCCATGCCTAGAGTTCATTGGATCTGGACTGTTTTAACACACTTCTGCCACATCCTGTAGAATTCTATCAATTCTAATTTATCTGCACAGTTGGAATAAATTTCAGGAACCAAAATGCTTTTTCTGTGCAGCTTGAGCAGGAGCAGTGAACAACGTTAGTTAAATGTTGTAGCTTACCTCCACCCCATTGCCCTGCTTACAGTTGTGAAGAATATCCCTACGTTATGAATGGTCTGTGTCACCATTCATTAAGGGGGGAAAAGGTTATTCTGAGCATTGGAGTCCTGAAGTCAGCAATGTGCTGGGAGATTGGAACTTTTCCTTTTATCAGTGTGTTGCTTGTCTGCAAGGTTCTTTAAAGTCCAACTTCAGGACCTCAAAGCACCAAACATCAAATCACCTGACATAATTTTTGGCACCACTTATTTTGGTCAACAGACCCAGAATGTTTCCACACTTCTGCTGTAAGAAAGCATTTTATCAAATTGTAGATGGAAATTGCTGACAGCCACTTCCTTAACAATACATTTTTCTTTTGCCAGCATAATCACAGGGATCCTGCAGTTATATCCATGCAGTTCACACCTGAATTTCTTAGAGTCACCATAATTTTTCTCATGCTGATAATGCACAATGCTGCAATTTATCCCCAAAATGTATATATCATGAGATGTAAGAAGAAAGACGCTAAGATTATGAAATCAAAATAGTTTTTACACACAGTATTTAAAGTTGTGCTTCCAGATAACATGAAATACTGCCATATAAAAGGTTTTGTATCATGCAGAAACATTCAAATCTTGTATCTTCATGTGCTGAATCTTAGGCCTGTGACACTGGGTACAGGATTATTTCATATGAGTATGAAAGGATGTGACCAAATAGGTGATATGGGTGAGAGGGGTTTGTGAAAAAAAGGAAATGGACATCAGAGAAGGAATTGAAATGGGACATGCCTCACATAGCCAAAAATGGCTGGAAATTGGAGACCTTAAAATAAATGGCTGGTTGAGTGATCAGCCCTGGTGAGACCACTGTGTTAAGTCTTCCATGCAGAAGCCTTTTAAGTGGTCTCCCATCTGATGGCTGCAGTGGAAGAATTTGCCTTAAATTGTACTGTCTCTTGACTGACAAATAGTCCTGTAATTCAGAATGTGCACAAACCTAGCAATTTTAAAACCTTTTGTATATGTTTTTGGGGTGGGAATACAAAGTTTAGACACATTGGACTTCAGTAGTAGTAATGTCATACAATCATTAGCTTGTTCAAGCAGTCTCCGACGTTAGTTGTAATGTTAGAATATGAAATGATTGACAGTATGACAAAACTTCAGACTGAATATCTCTTTCCCAAAGGCATTATAAAAGGGTCCTATCCTGTTTTATTATTTTATTGTTCTGTTTATTTTATTGTTTAAGCTGCAACTTAATGTAAAATGTTTTCTGTTCTTTTCTAGGGGTTTTCTGAGGTCTGGGAAAATGGCAGACATTGACAAGTAAGCATGCTAAATTTTGGCTAATGCGTTGTTCTATCTTTAAAAGGTTTTATTGTGTGAAATCTGCAGTTGTGTTCTTTCTTACAAGGGCAGATATAGTTAGTAGCAAACAATGTTCTAGGTCTTCCAGTTGTTAATATAAATTTGTAAATTTATAGTCAATACTTTTTAATCCTAGACTTACGTAGTTCAGATAGACGTACATATCAGGTGCAAACTAGAGAACATTGCATGCCTTCAGTCCTGTCACAGTGAGGACAGGGTGTTTTCTCTTCAGTTAGGATAATAATGTTAAATCAGAAAGACAGTGTTGTCTTACCTCCTCCTGAAAATGTCAGTTACAGTTGCTTTTGATGCTAAAGACAAGGTAGTGCAGAGTTGGGGAAAGATGCAAGTAGAAACATTTATGCAAGGAAGGTAGAACATCAATTAATTTTCAGTATGTCTATGTAGAACATGGGTTGCAAGTTGTGAATACAAATTTTACTTCATCCCCTCCCTCAATAAAGTTAAAAAATCAAAACAGTCAGCTTGGAGAAGTCTGATTCTAATAATCTTTTATCACTCTTGGAGGGTCTTATCAAACCTTTGTTCTGTTGCCCACCAGTTAAGCTGTGCTGTGGCTCTCAGTCCAGAAGTGTATTATTGTGGCTTATTATCAGGATGTGACCATTACAGAGTACAGTTATGCTCAATCTCCTGATGCCAAAGGGTTTGATGCCAAAGGGTTTGACAAGTTATATCCTTCCTTCTACTTGTGATGGATCTCTGGTGTAAATAATATCTTAAAATACTTTTCACTAGATTTTTCTTTTTGCAAAAGGTCACATATTTTATCTGCTTTACATTGCACCTAACACCTTCCAATAACATACACGCAATTGCAAACTATCCAAAGGTTCTCTATATAGCTGGAGTAAGTGTGCATCTCTCCTCTTCCTCCAGTGATAATTGCTTTTTAAATCAAACTGGAGGAAAAGTTAGGATATTGCGGATGAGAAGAAATCATTGGCTATATCTGTCATGCGCAGTGCCTCTTATGGATCATGAATATACACCTTAATAGAACAGTGTTTGTCTCTGATTATACTGGCTTTTTCCATGTTGCATGTGCTTTTGCAATGAGAGCCTTAAAAAGCTCAAGTCCCTGCCAACTTAGAGATAACATATGGGATGTGCATTAGAGAAATGGTTTGAAAGACACTAGCTTCTGGGCATTTTCTGAACTTTAATATGCTAGATTAAATCTGAATTGGTAACTTGCTAGATGTACTCTCATACTACATTTTTTGGGTTAAAGAGATTCAAATTCCTGTTTTGACTTGGAATTTAATAGCAAAGAACAGGCTGAGCTGGACCAGCAAGATATGGAAGATGTTGAAGAGGTAGAAGAGGAAGAAACTGGAGAGGATGCTAACAGTAAAGGTAAGGGGAAAATGAGCCCAGGCAAAGGTATTCTTCTGTAGGCATAATGGAAGAAGTGCTTTTCTTGGCTCAGTCTGATACCTGCTGGTTAAATATTCACCTTCAGCAGATCTTGCCATTCAGAGGAAAAACAAATTGATTGTTTAGTGCAATGCTTACCTTAAATGCTTTAGGCAAAATTGTCCTTGTATTAAATGCTAGTGTGATTTTTGTTTCCCATCTCATAATCTAGCTTTTCCTGTGCATGCTTACTTGGAGGCAAGTATTGCTGCCCAAGTAGTGTGTATAGGATTGCTGTCTTTATAAACATAGATATTTAGCATTTAATTTTGCGACTCTTGAGGTGTGTGTTAGACCTTATGTATCCTAATTATATGTGCTACCTCTTGGTTACTTAACATGGGAGGTAGACATTTAAAAATAGTTATCCTTTTGCTATTACAGTGGTGCCTCGCAAGACGAAGTTAATCCGTTCCACGAGAGTCTTCGTCTAGCGGTTTTTTCGTCTTGCGAAGCAAGCCCATTGACGGATTAGCGCTATTAGCGGTTTAGCGGCTATTAAAGGCTTAAAGGCTTAGGGGATTAGCTGCTAAAAGGCTATTAAAGGCTATTAAAGGCTTAGCAGATTAGATAAAGGGGGGGGGAAAGCCAATAAAAGTCTCAAGACTCGCAAGATATTTTCGTCTTGCGAAGCAAGCCCATAGGGGAATTCGTCCTGCGAAGCAACTTCAAAACGGAAAACCCTTTCGTCTAGCGGTTTTTCCGTCTTGCGAGGCATTCGTCTTGCGGGGCACCACTGTATATTAGATCTGTTCAGGCAGGTTTCTTTTGACGCTTGACTTCTAGACAATAAGTAATGCAAAATCTTGACATTTTATGTTATATCATTTGGTAAAATCTGAATTGCAAGCACTGGGCTAAAATTTCATAAAGGGGGAGTATAATAGTGTTTTTTAAAACTTCTTTTGTTTTGTTAAGCACGCCAGCTGACTGTACAAATGATGCAGAATCCTCAAATTCTTGCAGCCCTTCAGGAAAGACTTGACGGTCTGGTTGGAACACCTACAGGATATATAGAGAGGTAGAGTGTTCTGCAGTTACATATATTAATTCCTCTTTGTTTGTTCTTACCTCTTTAATAGATAAAATTGTTTGCATTATGTTAAATGGTCATTGTTCTGCAATATTAAGTACGGAAGTATGACCTACAAGTTAGAAATAGTGATGTTGGAAGGTAGTCTAAAATCAGGACATAACAATCTGCTTGAGAGAGTAATAGTGACTGCTGCTTCAGAAAACTTAAGTAATTAAGGCTGCAGTTACACACACACACACACACACACACACACACACACACTGCTTGAGAATAAGTCTAACTGAACTCAGTTGGCCATGGAAACAATTGCACTTTTAGTATTGAAGATCAGAATGTGGTATGCACAAAACATATCTGTTTTGTGGGTGTTGTATGTTTGAGCAGTCTATACAGGTATTTCATTTTTGAGACATATACAGAGTTTGTTTCCTTTGAAATTTGCAGAGCATATGTGTGCTCTCCATATTGCACATTCTGCCCCTCTTGAGTAACTTCTGATTTATCTCAGGTTACACTGACTCCTTGTCAGTGTAATAAAATGTAATAAAATGATAAAATTTTCTTGGTATGCATTTCGTAAGAGTGGGGATGAAAGATTGAAACCGATTGACCATACTGCTGAAAATTCGCAACTCATGTACTGTTTCAGGCTTCAGGTATAAAAGTGAATGTTGTGCCAGTGTAATAGGCCCCAAGTCCACTGCTTTCCACACAATGGAGAGCCACAAGTTTTTGGTAGGTAGGTAGTACAAGTAGTAACAAGCCTCACAGCTGAGTGGGCAGTGATCTCCATCACTAGCATTTTGTGGGCTACTTCAGAAAAGTATTAATGTAGTACAACTACCTTCAGACCATCTGCAAGATTGAACTGATGGATGCTGGGTAGAATATACTGCTTTTAGGTTGGAAGAAGGAAACAAGTTTCAAATGATATGTCCTTTAGATAAATCCAAAATGTGAGAATTACTTTTAAAAAAGGAAAAAGCAGGTATGCATTTGAATAGAGCTTCAATAAAGTAAGTTTCTCACTTTTTGTGAAGACATCTGTACAAGTGTTGTCCCCAAGAAGCACCTGCATTCCCCCCCTTTCTCTTTCTTTTCCTTTTCCTTTTTACATGCAAATGTCTATAATGGTTCCCTGATAACTGTTTATCTGAATAAAAAATGTAATGGGAAGCTGCAATTTTGACCACAGAATGAGGCATGTTTGGTTTGTTACCTCCAGGCTTTTTCTGTTCCAAAAAGCCTCTTAGGTATCCCATCCTGAGGTGCCACATAAGCATTTTACTTCTATTCAAGCGTAGAAGTGGAATTCTGTAGGAAGGAAACAACTGGGCAATCAGTTTGGAGCAGAAATGGCAAGCAAGGAAAAGGTCAAGCACCCTAGAGCTGCTGCTCTGAATAAAAAAGTTCCCACACCATCTAATCGCTGGCCACAATTGATCTCACATCTGCTATGAACTTGCTTTCTTTTCTCTCGTAGCATATTTAAGTAACCTGCAAGGTCCTTGATCCAAGATCAGCAAGTCCTTATTGAGTTTCATGCTGTGCTTTCACTGAGATACTATACCTTTTTGAGAGTTTTCAAAAAGCCAGCTCTTCATCACTTCAAGTACAGTAGCTCATCCCTAAAGCTTATATAGCATGTCAACTAAAGCATTTGAAGCAAAATAAATTAACAGGAGTACTGTGTTTGAGCTTTGTCTAATACTTGCACGTTTGCTTGATCTTAAAATGTTTTGTAGATGTCTTTTGCATTTCATACTTGATATCGCCTCTGAATATGAACTAGAAGGGCAGGTTTGGACTACTTATCTATAGAATATGCAATGTATTCCTTGCCTAAATTGATTCAAGCGAAGCTACTCTCTGTTACACAAACTGACAGATGGAGAATTGGGAGCCCTTATTTATTACTGTAACTTTTACTCCTTTGTCAATTTTTAACTTGATCTAGTACACTGAAATATAGTCTCCCATATCAAGCTAAAGAAATACTGCTCAGCTATATCATTTCCTGTTTGTAAGTAGACAGCTACTGTCCCTTGGCCAGCTGATATAACTGGCTGGTGCCCCATAATCCCTGACCATTTACCATACTGGCTAGGACTGGTGATAGCTGTAGTCCAAGCATCTGAGGGCACAGTGTTAACTACCCTTAGGCTGGCCCAACTGCTACTCAGTTATTGAGGCACCCACCTGTCAATCACCTGTTGTCATTAAGCCATCAGGTGACAGCATAAAATGAGCTCACTATCAGCGTTGATTAGCTTATTGGCACTGACAGTGAACCCCATTTGGTCCATTTACAGGCAGTGTTTGGATTCAAATCATGTCTGGAGACAGGGCATTTCTCCCCCCCCCCCCCACTGCAAACCTGTCTGTAAAGAGTCTGCAGAGGACAAATGCCACTTACCTTTGATTTGTAACAGTTTACTCATGCAAATAGGAGCTCTTGGTGGGTGTGCCAAAATGCAAAGGAGCAAGAAGTTCTCTATGTCATTATTTGTTGGTCTGTTTTTTCAACCCAACATAAAGAAATTTTACTGAAGCCAAACAAAAACAGGTATCTCATTAAAAAATTGTGGGGAAACACAGCTTCTGCTTTTAATACTCTTTACAAATATTTAAATGTTTTTCTCTTGACCATAAACTAAAGGTAACAAATATTGTGACCTCCAGGTGTTGTTTGGCTGCAAATCATGTCTGATGAAAGTTAAAGTCCAGCAAAATCTGGGTGCTCCCCCTCCCTAAACCCATCCTATGACCAGCTGTGAGTTGCTGCTTTGGAATCCCTGTTGTAAAAAAGGCTCTTCAGTTGTTTAATTACTCCACAGTTCCTCAGAAGCAAAAATGATTGGTATTGGATTTCTGGAAAAAGAGTATCACATACACATTTAGATAAAAAATACCCATCAATACAGTCCTATTTTTGTATGATTTAATATGGAGCGGTTATTAAGAACCTGTTTTCTTGTTATGTAAAGCAGAATTGTTGTATTTCCCCCCTTTTTGTGTGTGTTTACTAATTCCCCCTGCTTTTGTGATTGACCAGTATAGGCCACATTAGCCCAAACAGAGTAGGCAGCAAAGTTACCCAATTTTGAAAAAAGACACAGTAGAGTGTCCCATTGATTGCAGTGGTATTTTTTGGAGTGTTGCTGTACTTAAGAAGCATTCACTTGGGGTTCTCCCCCCACCCCAAGGTTTCTGGAAGAATATTGCTTACCCCTTTGTTAAATAGCCTTCACAGTAAACCTGGGTCTCGCTTCTGCAGCTTGTAAAATTGCTTTAGTAATGTGTTGCAATTTTTTTTCCTTTTCTGGTTTTGGTCGTGTTTCAGAACATTTTCACATTACCAAAAATAGGATATGAATAACTGAAAGCAAAGATAATATTCAAACGCTAAGTTATATATGGTGATCAAATTTAGAAATAATTACTAGAATTTCAATTTCATAGACTTCTGAGCCAAATAATTGCCTATCTAAAATTCTCCACCCATTGACCACCTTGTCTCAGTAAGAACTGAAGCCCTCTCCTGAATGTCTGGTGTTGGGGATCCAGGAAGGTGGGTAGTGTCCTGAATCTGAAAGAAGGCACATGTCCACTCACATTCATTACTGAAATGAAGTTATCTGAATGGGTTTCTGTAAGAGGTTGTAGTTTTGGCCTCAATATTGAAATATGCAACTTTCACACTATTTTTCAACTTGGTGTGAACAGATACAATATAAAATTAACCCTGAATTTTACTGACTTGCAGCTTTATTAGGTTTTGCTTGCAAATTCTACATGAAAGGTGTCGCCATGCTATTTATTACAAAGCATACCTAATACTGACATAGCTTGTAATGTAAAGCAGTTGTGTGCTGGTGTATCAATCCTGGGGACCATGTAACACATTGTTTTTATCTAACTCTGACTACAGTAAACACTATATAAATAAATACTAGATAGAGCTTTGAATTTGGAGCTTCTGCTTACTAACTGTCCTTAAGTCCACCCAAGACTAACTTAAAATATGAAAGGGGGGGGGGGGAGAGAAAAAAGTAGGTGTATAATGTTAATATTTTGAGTGAAATATCAGTGCAGGAACTTCTATCACTATTGTTGCATATGTGTGTGTGTGCATGTATGTATAGATGTTCTTTTTAAACAAGTCTCATCTATTCAAGAAATGGCAAGTTTTGTCCTAAGCTTTGGTGCTGTAGGGTTTAAGCAATTGGCTATTGGACACGCTTGGTGAGACAGCAGTATTGGGGAAGTTAAGGAACTTACCATGCTGTACTTCTCCTGTGTCTTCTGCTTGTATATGACGAGGTGCCAGAGGCATGCTTAAGTCTTGACTGGTGATCTTTGGAAAGTTGACATGTGCAAAGCACACCTGAAATTGCTTAATCAGTGTAAGGCTAGGGGGCATGATGAGTCGGGTAAAGGTGGCCCAGGCTGGACTCCATCCAGGATATGTCAGTATCTGGGATTGACCCTGTTAAATTGTTAACTTTGTCACGAATTAAAATTACCAGCTCAGAATACTGTAATAGATCTTTGTTGTCTGTGCCTAGTTGTTGCCAGAATAATACACTTTACTTCAGTATGTGCTGAATTATTAAAGAAAACAATGGGTTCTTAGAATCCAGAGAATTCCAAAATTCTCTCAATGTTCAGCACTCGGCCGAATCCTTTATCCTAAAATCAGCTGACCTGAGCAGCATTTTTAATGTGTTTACTCAACTTTTCAGTTGTTAGTGTCATGTCACTTTAACTTTTGAACTGCATGGAGTGCACCTAATATACTACTTGCAAAGAAGTCACAGATAGTTGTTTAATCTGTCTTTTCAGGTGCTAAATTAAGTTATTTAAAAAGTTAGTTTCTAAAACATATATACACCTTGAATTCTGAAATTTCAGTTGATAATTGATATTAAGAATTGTTTTCAAATTGAACAATATTTTCCACAAAGAAATATCGTCTGAAACACTTAAGGGAGGGGCGATTATGGGGTTTATCTTGTTCTGTATGTAGGTGATTCAGAATTGATATTGTATATGTTAATATCCATAAAACCTTCAAAAATAAAAATCACTCTTGTGTTAATATCACAATTTTGCTCTGCTGTTGCTCTTGGAAATAAAAGTTAACAGCATAATCCTACCTTTTAAAGGAAACTTTATTAGGAGAATGAATCCACATGATTGTCATTGATGTAACAATGCAGTATTATTTTCCTCCCTCAGCTTGCCTAAAGTAGTTAAGAGACGTGTAAATGCACTCAAGAATCTTCAAGTTAAATGTGCACAGATAGAAGCAAAGTTCTATGAAGAAGTTCATGAATTGGAAAGGAAATATGCTGCTCTTTATCAGCCCTTGTTTGACAAGGTAATCTTTATACTTTTACCTCTAGGGATGAGAGTTTAATTCTGCAGAGTCAAATGGGACCAAATTCCCACTGGTTCAGTAATTCTGTAACCTTTTATTTGCAAAAAAATAAATAATAATACTTGTTCGTTGCTTTTGTTGGATATTGGGTCAAACTAAATTCTGGTAACCTGAATAAACAAGCACTTTACTCTTCCAGAGGAGTGAAATCATCAATGCAGTTTATGAACCTACTGAAGAAGAATGTGAATGGAAAACAGATGTTGAAGAAGAAATTTCAGTGAGTACTTAAATATGATTGTGGGTGGGATTAATTGTGTATTCGTGCTTTACAAGTTTGAAGTACTGTAGACTTATTCTAGTAGTAAATGCAGACAAATCATTCAATTTATAACTCTGTAAATTGTTTGCCCCCTTGATGGTTAGTAAACATTTTGATTGGGTTGATGTTGTTTTGTATTGGATTGATATAGCAGCCCACCAATAAACATTTCCTGTGTGTCTTATAACAATTAAACACAGTGACCCCGTTCTCATGTGGCTCTAAGATAAGACATGGCTTAGTGCAAACATGTGGATTTCCAAAGAGCAGATTGCAGCTGCTGCACTCTTCCCTGGTCCTCCTGCTGCCAAGAGGTCTGAAACAGTTAATGTGCTATGTGAACCAGGATTCATGGTTTGCCTCCTCCAGAGAAACCATGTGCTTGTAACCAAATTTTGTTTGGGGGTTTATAACTCATGGTTTGTCTGGGATGAGACAAACAAAGAGCCTCGGTTCAGACAGCACATCGTACCATGGTTTACCTCACACCAGTACAGTAGTAGAAGGACCAGTGGAGAGCGCATTCACACTAAGCCATGATTAGGCTTACTATTATATGCATACTGAACCAATATATAAAAAAGTAATTTAAACAAGACAGCCAAAAATCTTCCTGTACAGATGCAGAATAAAAACAGCATAAAACATTTTACAACTCATATTTAAAAGAGTTAAAATGTTCTGATATCCTATGTGTGCCTTGAGAGGTTCTGTGTAGCTTTAAATAGTAAGATGCCTGTCTTACATAAATATTGGAGTATACAGCCACTAATCTGATAGTGTTTGACTGAAGGTTTTTTCCCTGTTTGTTGTGGTTACTAGTATAACACTAGATTTCTTGGTTAGTGTGCAGCACTCAAATTTTAGAAAGAGTAACTTCTTAATTTTAACAAGGAGGAAATGAAAGAGAAAGCCAAGCTTGAAGAAGAGAAAAAAGATGAAGAAAAAGATGACCCTAAAGGAATTCCTGAATTTTGGCTGACTGTGTTCAAGAATGTTGACTTACTCAGTGATATGGTTCAGGTAAAAGAATGACTTAATTTCTTGCAATTTTGCTCATAAGCTAAGGGTTGCACCCACTGTTTTCTTGCTTAGAGTAGACCTACTGAAAATTATGGGCGTGACTTTCCAAGGTTCATTGATTTAAGTGGGTCCACTTAGAGTAGAATTTAGTTCCAGACTCTAAGGAGCCTGGTTTTTTTCTGGGATTCAGCTTTAGTGTCTAGTAATCCAGTAATTCATTTTTTCTGAGAAACATTCAGAAAGAATAGATAATTTGTCTTTATGAACTCAAAATTCTACACCATAAGAACATAACATAGTTGTCTTAGATCAATCTACAGTCGAATCTCGTCCAATATTTTGTTCCTAAGTGTTTCAGCAGTGCCTTTTGGGAAACCCATAAGTTAGGGGCTGAAGGGTGCAGCCATTTAAAGTTGGTCCCTAGTATCTCATATTTGGTGGCATATTGCCTCAGAACATGGATGACCCAGTTAATTTCATGGACATCAAGTGCTAATCTAAAAGCTTTTTAAACTAGTGTTCCTGGTTACATGCTGTGGCAGTGAATTCCTCTTAAGTTTCTGAACTTTCTACCACCTATGTTGAATGTTATTCAGCTGTCATTGCTCTCACATGAGTCTACATTAGAAGCTGTCATAAGGGCTAAAAGTAACATGTCATACAACAAAAACTCTGATTCTTGAAAAGCTGGATACCTCACTCAATATCACATTCCACATTTGCATCAAATTGCAAAGTACATACAGCCCTGGGCATGTGGTATGCTTTTTCATTTCTCAGAAGCTTGTGTTTTATGAGAGTACTTGTTTGATGGTTGCCACTACCTGGAGAACTAGCTTTGATTGAAATATGGATTTATGAATCAAATGCTCACCCCAGATTATTTGTATTTGGGTTTTTTTAAAATAATATTTATTGATAATTTCAAAATTACAAGAAAAATAAAAAATAACAAACAACACTACAATACAAAAAAAGAAAAAAGAAGAAGACAATAAAAAAGGAGAAAAGCACAAAATGAGAAAACCAATATAGCAATACAGCAATAAAAAAGTAAAGAAAAAGAAAAAAGAGGAAAAAAACACAAATCCCAAATTGCATATCCATAATTTCCATTTGCTTGTTTCATTGACCTCCTCACACCTCCATTTTTGTATTCTAGTTTAGTAATTATTTCAGCAAATTCTTTCCATCTTTCTCAATTTTTGTTATAAAATTTGTCTTAACAATTTAACCTAGAAATTAGCTCAACAAATCCTTACCATCTTTCCCCATATTCTATTATTCAGATTACCTTAATTTATTTATCCTTATCTTACCCCTAAGTGCCTTAAAACTTAAATCTTAAATTTCAAATATACATAACTCCTAATATCATTTCTGCTAGAGTCGTATAGTTTCATTCCCACATTTTCCCTAATATTCATTAGCTGATTCTAAAATAAAAAAGTTTCCATTATAAATTCTCTTCCAATCATCATCCAGCGTCTCTTCTTCCTGGTTTCGGGTCATGTCAGTCCTTTTTGTCCTTATTGTCCATTCCGTCTAGCCCATCAACCTGGAAGCCTTATGTCCAAGGCCCTTAAATCTCTTCCATGTCCCTTCTGCAATTCTTCTTCATCTTGTTTGTGCTTGCCCTTTTCCTTGTCTCTTGTTGGTCTCTGTCTTAGTTTCTTTCCTTTCTCATTGAGGAGTAGGTCTCTGGGGGATTCCAACCCAATATTGTCTCCATCACCCTTCATCCGGCTCACCCATTCCCCACAGTCCCACTCCCCACAGTCCTCGATGTAATCCAAAATGAATTTAAAATCAAATTTCAGAATCTCTCCAAAGCTAGAAGTCTCCTCATCTCCAGACTCACCTTGGCCCGCTCCAGCTTCAGTCTTCAATAACAGTGGCTTATGCTCCTGTAGGGCCTCGGGTCTCTCCATTTGTACTATTTGAGGTGCAGCCACATCCTCCTCCATTGTCAACTGCACTTGCCCAGTCGGTACAGATTGATAGGTTGGTTCTTGGATGATTTCTGTATCAATGTTATTAACCACAACAGTCAAATCCATTTTCTCATTCATTAAGTCCATCTTTTCATGCATCTGTTCCAGCAAAGCATTTGTCTTGTATAGAGCAAGCAACCAGTCTTTCTCCCAGCTCATCTTTGTTCAAGGTCAAAAAAGTCTGTTCCCACAGTCTTAATCTCACAGACGTTGGGTCTCAAATATGCAGCAACAACAATTTAGCAAGCTCCCTCTAGAGGAGACAATCTACTTGTAGCCATTTTTTTTTTTTAAGACAAAGGAAAGTTACTTTCATTTTTCAGATATTTCAGACGTTTTTCAGATATTTTGTTTCTTTAAGATGCAAAAGGCAACATTAGAATCAACTTGTTTCTCTTCATTAGCTATCTGTCAAAGTGTTACGTTCACCGTCAATGAACCTCAGCAACAGTTTCTGTCTCTGACACCCCGTTCCCAGGTTAGAGACGATGGAAACTTAATCCTTCTTAACTCCCTCTCCTGGTAGGGTTAAACAGAGTTTCCCCCCCTTTTCTCCTGCTTCCAAGGGGGGTTTCAGTGGTTCTAAATGAAGGAAATTTAGTCCTTTTTTGACAGCTTCCCAGCTTTAGCTTGCAAAATTTTTGCTTTAGTCTATATACAAGGAAACGGAAGGCGGACTTCCTGTTTACACCTTCCTGCTTTGTTACCAAATTAAAACAATTTCTTGATCCAATTTTCCGTTTCTACTCACGGGCACTTGTTTTAAGTCCAATGGTCCACAGGAAAAAGTCAGCACTCTCTGGCAATGGCTGTGCGGCTTCACTCCGTGAAAGTAGCAGTCAGTTAGTAGCACCGCGCTTCTCACCCCACTTCGCTCCGGAGCCCCTAGATGGGATTCCCCGCGAGTAGGGGGGCGCTTCTGGTGCCCTGCCGAACCCCACGTTCCCAGGCTTCCTCCGCCTGGGATTTCTAGCGGGTCCCCACCTTCGCCGCGGCGGGAAGACCCAGTTTTCACGGAGCCCGTTCCTCTGGTCGGAGGAACTCCGCCATTCACCAATGGCGCTGACCCGGAAGCCCAGATTATTTGTATTTGGTTCCTTTTGCTATGTTACACTGCTTTTTCTTCTTGTAGCTACATGATAATTGTCATGTTTTTTGTAGGAACATGATGAACCAATTCTGAAACACTTGAAAGATATTAAAGTGAAGTTTTCAGAGGCTGGGCAGCCTATGGTAAGTTCTTGATGAGAGTGCATTGAATATTGAGATACATAAACTTTGCTTCTGTTCAGTACCGTTCAGTAATCAACTGCAACACTTGAAAATTTTGCAATCTATTCTACGCTTGTAGGAGTCATAAACTTTATGGTCCACATGACTTGTTAGCTTGAAAATAAGGGTTGAGTTACATATGTAGGATTTTGATACTTAATCATGCAAAGACTTATCTCTGATTTGCAGCTGAATGTGTGGACTGGCTCCATTTGAAAAGGATATATTATGAATATGGATATGTGAAGATTCCATAAGAACTTTATAAAGATTTGTGTTTTCAGTTGGGCATTGCTAAATGAGAGCTTTACTGAAAATGGGATCCCACCAGTGTAAGTTCCCTGAAAAAATGGGAAACACAAATGAATGCCATACAGAAAATGAAATGTACATTTACGTGTTTGTTTTGCAAAATTGAAATATAACAGTTTTGTTATACTTTTGAAGTATAACAAATCCTTGGGTAGACCTGCTTTCCCCAACTTGATACCCTCCTGATGTTTTAGACTCTAACCTAGCCAACTCCCTGCTGGCCGAGACTGATGGAAGTTACAGTTATAGAATCATAGAGTTGGAAGGAACCCTGAAAATTCTCTAGTCCAGCCCCCTGTAGTTCAGGACTATGCAGCCGTCCCTTACGGGGACTGAACCTGCAACCTTGGCATTATCAGCACCACACTCTGACCAACTGAGCCATTCAGCTGATGTGTCCAAAACATCTGGAGGACATTGAAGGTGTAGAAGGCTGCTCTATCCAATGTATCCATTTCAGCAAGAAATAGAACTTAAGCAGCACTGTTTGCTGCTTCATTTTACTAAAGTAATTCCATTGTTTTGACATATTGGATAGCTGACCTGCGGTGCTTAATGATGCATCATTCACTTCTTTCTAACACAGTCTTTCTATATTTATTTTTTAAAAAGACTTTCACATTAGAGTTCCACTTTGAACCCAATGAATATTTCACAAATGACGTGGTGACAAAAACATACAGAATGAGGTCAGAACCTGATGATTCTGATCCTTTCTCCTTCGATGGACCAGAAATTATGGGTTGCACAGGGTAAGTGTGATGTTCTCTTCAAATAAGTGGTTGAAAGTCTTCCATAACACGAGACTGGCCCAGTTTGCATGTAATTCTAAGCCAAACTCTTTGCAGGCTCCTCAAAAGGAGGTAGCAGCCCAGTCATTTTGCTACTATGCTGAGCCAAGCTGTGGTTTTGCTTAGCATCCTGTTCAAATTCACATTCATAGTTTAGCTCTCTCCAGGCAAACCAAGAGCTATAACCAAAGTTTACCTGCTTGGTTTACCGGCACGTCTGCAAATGAGGACAAAATCTGTAATATATTGTAAGAATATATACAAGTAAACTATGACAATCCAGTAAATTAAAAAAGTGAGGCAAAGAAAAACAAAGGGTAACATAAATTCCACTAATAGCAGCTGCTATTAAGTTCTCAAGTAAAAGAAGAGTTTTTTTAGCTGTCAACCTAAAGGCTAGGAAGTAGGTGCCTGACAAATAAACAGAGTTTTAATAGGCAATGTTCTATCACATGAAAAGAACTTTCACTTGTTGTTACCCACCTTGCCCCTGAAGGTGCGGGCACCCAAACCAGGGCCTCTGTTGAAGTCAGTATGGGTGTTTATGAATGTGTGCCTGCTTACTTCACAATGTAAATTTGCTTTAGTACAATAGATCATATTTTAATGGACACAAAATGTTTTAACTTGTGAGTGATATACTCCTTACTCTAAAGAGAGAGAGATAAGATAGATATAAATTATATGTGCATGCTCTACACCCAGCAATCGCAGTGCAGAAAATTACAAACATTTAAACCTGGTACAAACCATTTAAATTCATAGATATTTCCTGACTCTTACTCATGACCAAAGTCCAGCCCATATTTAAGGCATTGCAATATTCACTATTACATTTTAATTAGCTATTTTATCTCTCCTAACCTCTAGGAACATTAATGCCTTGCCTATATGCTGAATTCCTTGTGTAATATGCATGCTGGAAAGGTTGCTGGGGTTTAGCTTGAGATTGCTCACTTTTTGATTTAGGACCTTGTGCATTGCTTTGAAGTCAGGTTCTTCTGATCCTGGTATTTGAACCAGAGTTATGAACCTAGTTTCTGGTAGTTGAATGGTGCTTGTTATCCTGCCTGTGGACGATCATCACGAGTGCCTAGATACTAATCCACCCAGCTTTGACATGCCAACTTAAAGACAAAACTAACTTGTATTGCAACATGTTCAAAGGAAGTTACTTAAAAACATCTGTATGTTCAAAGATGGTTACTTAAAAACATCCAGACCTTCTCTGCATAGGCAGAAGTATTCCCACCCCCAGCATGTTCAGCATTACTTGAAGTAAATAGTGGCAGAGTTTCAAAGTGATGGTAACACCTTTGATACTACAGTGCTGCCTACAATACACTTGAGAGGCTTTATGGAGAAGATTCAAATAGGGGGTTTAAGGGCAAGGGATCAGGACAGCTTCTTGGAGAACTGAATGTCCTGGAACAAGAGAGACCCTGTAGCCTTTCAGCTTAGATGTATTGCAGGTGGGTTATGTGTTGAAATACTGTATGATGAGAAAACTCATTTTCAAACCACGTATTTTGCAGTTTTATGACCCCTCCCCCTGTGAACCGCCCTGAGACCTGCAGGTATAGGGTGGTATATAAATTCAATAAATACTGTTAAGAGGGAAAGAAAAATGTAATTGATTCATTTAATTCAGGTGTTACTTTCTTCCTCGTACCAGACAGCTCTGGGAAAAATAGCATAAGAACAGGCCTGACACTGGCTTGTTATTCATAGGATTGAATTGGACTCCAGCCCCACAAGTACTTAACTGCCAGTGTTCTAAACCACCTGAAATACTTATATAAGGATACCCTTGATTTATTAATTTAATTTTCTCATAGGTGCCAAATAGATTGGAAAAAGGGAAAAAATGTTACTTTGAAAACTATCAAAAAGAAACAGAAGCACAAGGGGCGTGGAACAGTTAGAACAGTGACAAAAACAGTTTCCAACGATTCTTTCTTCAATTTTTTCAGTCCTCCTGAAGGTAAATGATTTCTGGTGTTTTTTTTTTATTACAGTAAAATCTGAATATTGTGGATTTTTAAATATAAGTATAATCCTATATCTTACTACTTTTCCTTTGCAGTTCCTGAAAGTGGAGACTTGGTAAGTCCCTCTAGTTTAATTTCCTAAGAAATATAACTTGGAGAATATTTAAGATAAAAGCAGTAGCAAGAGATAAATTTTAGGCTTCTTTAAGATAATTTGAAGTGATTTAAGCAATATTTCAAGTTTTCAGACCCAAATTAAATGTGTTATTTTTGGTGACTGAAATTGAGAATTCAGCACTCAGTTGGGGCACAAATAAATATTTATTTTTTTGGAGATAATGAATTAAATTTGCAATCTGTTATAAATAATTGGGGAGAATATGGCTTTAGGCAAATTTTGTGTCATAGAATGGTATCATTTTTCCCCCTAAATGCAAAATCATAGAGCTTTGAATTCATATTACCTGTGCAGGATGATGATGCTGAAGCAATTCTGGCAGCTGATTTTGAAATTGGTCACTTTCTACGGGAGCGCATAGTTCCACGATCAGTATTGTATTTCACAGGAGAAGCCATTGAGGATGACGATGATGATGTAAGTGGTGCTTGTTTTCAGCTGTGCCAAAATTACCTTGGAACAGTATCTGTACCCCAGGGCTTAAATGGAGCTATAACTTACCACACAGACTTCATTAATTATAATAGAATTAGACATAGATGAAAGTGCATGTTATGTTACGGTGCTAGATTGTACGGTTACCCATAGGGCTGAATTTCAGGCTAGTGCTTTATGTTCTTCATGCAAGAGCTTGTTTTTAGAACACATAAAGTACGAATTGGGATACAATCAGAATGAATCCCCCCCCCCCCAAGCAGGCTCAACAATTAGATGTCAAAGCAATTTGGGTTTAGATTGCAGATTTCATTTTCATGCTAAGGTTTAAGTGTATGTAGAATTGTGTGATTAATTGGGTTTTTGCTAAAAGTTCCCATGCTTTGCAAAGTGCTCCTGTGCAATGTAAATTAACATTGTATGTCTGGAAATACCTGCAACTCAAAAGCTCTAATTTGCAGAGTAATGTCCTTAAAGCTATTGTACTACTGTCCTCTTACCTTAATTTTTGTCTCCTTCCTTCTCCCCCCAGTATGACGAAGAGGGTGAGGAGGCCGATGATGAGGTGAGTTTCATGGTGGCTTAACTGGTTTCAGTAGTTAAAACGTAGCACAAAGGTGCTTACAAATCCTGGAATGTCAGACTCTCAGCTTTGCTCTTTATGACACCAAGTGCACATTCAATGTATGTCCTGTATATTTCAGGAAGGGGAAGAAGAAGCGGATGAGGAAAATGATCCAGATTATGACCCCAAGGTAAGTAGTTGATGCATATGATCTTTGTAAATCATTTCCCTCCAATAAAGTTATCAAAGTCCTGTAACACAGCTGTGGTCTTCACACTGATGTTGATGTGTTTTTTCTTCAACAGAAGGATCAAAACCCAGCAGAATGCAAGCAGCAGTGAAACAGTGTGTATGTGGCCTTGAGGATTATCTGCACTGTAATAGCCTAAATACAACTATTAGTTACTTACAGCCTTATGTTTTGTATCTTGGTAGAATTAAGTAAACAATTTGTTAAAACAAACTGACAGAACCAGTTTAAAATGTAGGTTCCTTGTACCTAGCATTTTAATAGTACTTTTCTGCCAAAATGTAGAATGCAGTAAATCCCTAAAGCATGAATAGTTAATTCATTGCTATATATAGTTTGGTTCTTGTGAAGTCTGTTGTCATGTAGCTATTAGACTGCAGCTGTGAAGATACCAGAACTGTTGACGGAGACCAATCTTTGCCTCCTTTCCTGAAGAACCAACCAAATCTGTCAATTTCCATCAAGACCACATTGGACGTTCATAACTGTCTGCTTGTTTATGCTCTAGGTTTTTGTATTTTGTGATGGTGACCTACAGGAAAAAAAACTAGAGACATCATATTAAGGTTGTTTACCACTGGGGTGTGAATAAACCTAGTATTTTCAGAAATTAGTTGTGTGCCTGTGTACATTAAAAAAAAAATCTTACAAGTATATCACTGTAGGATGTTTTTGCTGAACAGGACCAGCCTCTGAGGGTTATGTGCACAAGCACCATTGAAATGCCTTCAGGGTTGTACTCCTGCACAAGTTTGTTTCAGTAGGCTTGCATAAACTATCTGAAAGGACTTTTGCACTACAACTGTAGCACTTTCCTGCCTAGAAACTTTGAAGATCCAGTAATAATATAACTTTTTAACTGCCTTACCCCCTTAAAAGTAGGACAGGAGAACCTGACCATCCATATGTTTTTGGACTCCTATCCTAACCAGCATGATCAATGGTCAAGAATGATGGGAATCGTAGTTGAACATCTGGAAGGCTATAGGTTCCCCATTCCTGGTTTGTTCAAATAAGGTTATAGGATTAGGTACTTCTCTGACATGTTTCACAGAGGGTAGGCATCTTCAATTACTCCTTTAACATGGTCTTTACTTGTAGCTGAATTGAGATTCATCCTATCTAAATCTCCAGTGTGCTCCAGACAACAAAAAAGAATAAATTTTGTACGTCCAGTTTTGAGTTAAGCTGGTGATTGTCTGACAAACTTCTCGGCTGTAAACTACTAACCAATCTTTATCAGAACGTCCACCTGGAAGGTTGGCCAATTTAGGTATGCCATTTGCTTTTTCCTTCATTACTTCCTTATATTCCATCTGGATATGCGTTGGGGAGAAGTAAACTATCATACCCAAAGAAATAAACATTCAGTCAGCTTGAAACTTTCCCAACTTTACAATCTGTCCAGGACTACTACTTTTTTTAGAAGTAGTGTGTCAAAACTATTCAGACTCAGGATAATTGGGCAAACTCAGAGATGCAGAGTTTTGGTGAATGCTCTGAGGCTATTGATGCCCTACTTTCTATTGTAATTCTAGTGCCACCTGAAAAGATGCTTCTGAAAGATGGGAAAACCCTTTTGCCCGGCACCTGATACACTATGAGGAACCACAGTCAGGAGAAACTGAATAGGAGTCCTAAGCCTTGCAACAGAATTCTTTCTGCAAAACAAGGATATATTTAGGCAGGGCCAGCCCACCTATGAGGCAAGATGAAGCAACTGCTTCAGGCAGCAGGGTCCACAGGGGCAGCAGATCCTGATATTAAACTTTCTCTCTCCCCCCCCCCCAACCTTCCTGATGTAGATCTTTACTCGCCTCTTCTTCCCTGGCAGGGAGGGAGCCACCATTTTGCGGTTTGCCTCAGGTGCCAAAATGTCTTGGGCCAGCCTTGTCTTTAGTACATAGCAGGTTTTTTCACACCAATACCACAATTGCCGGAACAGCAAGTTATATTTCACCACTTAAGGTACAAATGTATTTTCATACTACATATATTACCCCCACACTGCTGAATATATATCTTTTCCTGTTTATTGGGAGGCCTACTCTTAATACAAGAATTCCAGAAATAGACCAAGAAGAAATGCAGCATAAAGAACTGTGGGTGCAGGAGCCAAACTCTTAAAAGAATGAAAATCCCTACAAAAAGCTCCCAACTATTGCCCTTCATTTGGGGGGGGGGGAGTATGTGTGAAGCAAACAAGCATGGGGGGGGGGCGGGATTCCGCAAAGGCTCTGTACAGTTTGTATGGGGAAAAGATTGAAACATTGCTTATTCAAAGGCAGTAGCTTCACTGTTTAGATGAGTTTTAGATTCTTATTAGAGAGCATATTGATCCTCTGTCAAAGCAGATTCAGTGGAAGAAATGATTCTCAGAACCTGCAGCTTCCTTAGAAATGCTACCTCTTTTAGAGGAGGGTGGGAGGTGCCTTCTGTTAGTACTCCCTCAAGTACCAGCTGTGAACCCAATAGCTAAATAACTCTCAGCTGGTTACAGGGTGGCTGCTGGGGTGGTCTGATGCAGTGCAACAGATTGTAGGCACAAGTTCAACTGCAGTCACTGAAAAGGCTCTTAACTGAACAAATTCAGTTTTAACTCCCATGTAGCAGCATTCATCAAGGCTCCATTCCCTGTACATCTGGCCCAAGGTAAATATGTTCCAGTAACATGTTCTGTTTGTGTATTTCTGGTAGCTATGCTTTTCCACAAGGAACAAATTTGGCAAGTTTGTAGGAAAGGATAAAGACAGGCAGCCAACGCCTTTAAAATTACAGTTTGTTTTAAGTTCAGCATTTCCCAACACTAGTTTGGCAACTTCCATGCATGTTGAGTTGCTTTTAAAGGAATTCATTTTGCACAGAGTAATATGAGCAATTACATTTTGCAACATTCCTAACGGATGAAATATTTCAAGTGTGACATTTAAGAATGTTTTGTACATACCGCTCGTATTTGACCACTGACAATGAGCCCAACTTTGGGTTACCTGACAAGTGAATGGAAAGTGCAGTAAGTATCACACTTTGCATACTACTGAAGCAGGGGCTTTTACAGGATCCTAGAGATGGTTAGGGATGCATGTGATGCTGTGGTCTAGACCACGGAGTCTACGGCTTGCCAATCAGAAGGTTGGTGGTTCGAATCCCCGCAACAGGGTGAGCTCCCGTTGCTCGGTCCCAGCTCCTGCCAACCTGGCAGTTTGAAAGCATGTCAAAGTGCAAGTAGATAAATACCGGTAGGTCCCGCTCTGGCGGGAAGGTAAACGGCGTTTCCGTGCGCTGCTCTGGTTCACCAGAAGTGACTTAGTCATGCTGGCCACATGACCCGGAAACTACGCTGGCTCCCCCGGCCAATAAAGCAAGATGAGCGCCGCAACCCCAGAGTTGTCTGCAACTGGACCTAACGGTCAGGGGGTCCCTTTACTTTTACCTTTAGAGATTGTTAGAGTTTGTTGGTGCTATGTTTAGTTTTCAGACAAGTGGCTGTATCTGCTGCAGGAAAAACAGCTAAATTATGTTCCTCTTTGAAAAGTAAATTATCTTAGCATAAGCCTTCATTGGCCAAAACAACTTGATTTGATGTCTGGGTTATATATATGTACATTGAGTACAGCAGACTTTTGGGGAGGTGGAGGGGAAACACTTTTACTTCGGCAGACTCAACAGGTCAAGTGAGAGCTATAGGTGTACCACATTTTTATGTTGAGCATAAACACAAAATTTAGTTTGACACTAGAGGGCGTCTGTGTGCTACAGTATCCAAGGCCAAATTACTTAGGCTTGCTGCTTGTTTTGGTAATTCATCTGATCCGAAGATGCAGACAAAGCTGATTGAACTATGGTTTTTGAAAGTGCTAATCTAGCAGAACGTAAAGGTAAAGGGACCCCTGGCTGTTAGGTCCAGTCACACAAATTCAAATAATGAGGTATCCGTGTGTCTAAGCATCATTTACTTCCATTATCATGGAACCTGAACATAATCTTTAGGAATATATGCTATGCTCATAGATGCGTTGAATTTTAAAATGGTATTGAATAAGTATCCCTACCAAATGTATTCTGCTTGTATGAATGTTAAGACATTGTATATAGGACTGCCATGGTAGCTAGAGCGGTGCTGTTTCCTTATACAGGAAGAATTCATTATATTAGACCTGCATATCATAAAGCCTTCCCCCACAGAGGAAATCTAAATAAACGTTGATAGCTTGGAGTGGCAGAATGCTAATTCAGAAGTGCATGAGGGAGTTGACACCCATTTTTGCAGCCAGATGTTGCTGCTGAACTCTGCTATAAGTAATAGAAACAAGGCTATGTAAGATAAGCAGAACAGCAAAAATGGAGGCTAACATAAGATGCCAGAGGAAAAGGGGATTTAACCACGCTTTGAGATCCGTGGACTAAAAAGAAAGATCCGTGGACTAAAAAGAGAAATGGGGGGAGTGGAAAGAAGGGGTGAGCTATGAGATGGGCAGAGAGGGAGAGGGTAAATTTGAGCGGGTTTTACAATTTTAACTGAAAAGCTTTGCTGCTTATAAACGATGTAGGCTCTCAAGTTATAAAAGGGGTCTGCAAAGGGATTTGATGCATTTGGAAACCCTGGTATATTTTTAAGAAGGCATTATGAAATAGCTTCCTTTCCTTCACTAGCAAGGATTGTGCTGTAGCTTCCTTCCACATATATTTTAGAGCTATTTTAGCGAAGGTATTTATAGAGAGGCTTCAGAAAGCATGAGTTGCACTCAGGGTGTTTTGATCCAAGTCTCAGCTGCTGTGTTCACATGATTACGTAGATTTGTACACTTCCTTGACAGTTGACAGATATAACTTGGGTGCAAGCAACAAATCTGTTTATTTTTCTTCTGTATTTTTTCAGTCACAAAGTGCTGGCTTGTATCCGATTCTTTGTTTGATTTTCCTGTTGTCAGTCTATCACTTGGTACAAAGTAGAAGAATGCAGCCTTCCTCTGAAATAGATTCAGAGGAATCTTGACTACTTCCACTGTCTTTGAGTCCCTGAAAAAGATACCTCTAAAAGGCTTTCTGCAGCACTCCTGCTAAAACAAGGGTCAGCAACCTTTTTCAGCTGTGGGCCGGTCCAACGCCCCTCAGACTATGTGGTGGGCCAGACTACATTTTGGGGAAAAACCAAAAAACCCAAACGAATTCCTATGCCCCACAAATAACCCAGAGATGCATTTTAAACAAAAGGACACATTCTACTGATGTAAAAACACACATTCCTGAGAAGGCGATTGGGCCGCATCTGGACCACGGGCCTTAGGTTGCCTACCCTGTGCTAAACTCTTCTTATTTGGAGCAGTGCCTATAATCCCTGGCCATTAGCCATGGTGGCTGTGGGCTGATGGGAGCTGGACTCCTCCAGCATCTAGAGGGCCATAGGTTCCCCATACCCAGTTTAGACCACAATAAGTTGGTGTGTATCTTGGGTCCCCACTCGTGCCCTCAGCGTCAAACCGCCTGCCTACTAAGCCCTCCCTGCCCTTCTCAATTTTTTACTTCAAATTGAGGAGTTCCGGTGCTTTGTTTTGTTAGGAGGTTGCCTGTGTTAGGAGGAGAGCCAGTGTGGTGTAGTGGTTAAGAGCGGTAGACTCGTAATCTGGTGAACCGGGTTCGGTCTCTGCTGCTCCACATGCAGCTGCTGGGTGACCTTGGGCTAGTCACACTTCTCTGAAGTCTCTCAGCCCCACTCACCTCACAGAGTGTTTGTTGTGGGGGAGGAAGGGAAAGGAGAATGTTAGCCGCTTTGAGACTCCTTAGGGTAGTGAAAAAGCAGGATATCAAGTCCAAACTCCTCCTCCTGCTGCTTCATTGTATGTATTGTTTGGGGAAGGTGTATGTTACCTGTTTTATTGGGGACAAGTGTCTGAGCATCACTCATTTGTCTGTGCAAAGAGCATTTCACTGATTTTCAAATGTCTCCTAAAAGATTGGGGATCTGCAGTGTGGGCTCTCACTTGCTAGCCAGTGTAGGCTGTACAGTTGCCTTACAAGAAATGATAGTGTTATTTGGTGATCCTATGTGAAGGTGCATTGGATAGTGACTATGACACTCCTTTATATGTTCAGTCTTGAGGCTGCGTATTTCGGCGTTCGGGCCCCTAGGAGTTTTAGTCTCCACATCAGCACAAGTAGCATATAAATGCCTCGGGGCGTTTTTCCACACCGTGCGTGCCGCCCTCGATCCAATATAACGATCGCACTGCGGAGGAGTTCCGCCGTTGCAGCAATAAACAAAACTCTGTTATGGATGATTCGTGAGGCACCTTTTTTGAAAAAAAGGAAGCCCCGCGTCGTGACACAAGCAGCTCCTCAGCTGCTTGTGCTGTTGCCTTCCGTCGGGAGGAGAAGTTGGGCGGGCAGGGAGGCGTCGGGAGGGCGGCCCTCCGTCCGTCCCCCCCGTGAATCAGCTCCTGTGGGTGGCGCATTCTCCAGGGGGCGCCAGGACTGCAGCCTGCCTGCCTGCCGATGCCATTTAAAAAGTGCTCCAGCCCCGAGCGCGCCGGGTTCCTCGCCTCCTCGAGTTTGAGAAGCGGAAATGGCCAGCGCGGGAGAAGCGCTTTGTTCTTTGGCGGCGGCGGCGGCGCGGCGGTTCGCGTGAGGCGCTACAGGCCTCTCTGGCGGGAGAAGCGAGCGAGGCGGGGAGGCGCGCCGGCCCTGAGGCGAAGGGTGTGCGAGCGAGAGCGCGGCGGGGCTTCCCTCCTCGGCCGGCCTCTTCTTCCGCGAGCGCCCTCGGCCCCCTTGACGCGCCCGGCTGGGGTGGAGGAGCCGCGTTCAAAAGCAGCGCGAGCCCAGCAGCTTCCCTCAGTGGCTGCGGGGGACGCCCGGGCGTCGTCGGAGGCGGAGAAAAGGCTCCTCTCCTTGCCCGGGTCTTGCGGGAACTTTGTTACGGCGCCGCCGCCGGGAGGATGCTGGAGGGCGGCTGCAAAGCCGTGAAGGAGGGCGTGCTGGAGAAGCGCAGCGACGGCTTGCTGCAGCTGTGGAAGAAGAAGCGCTGCATCCTCACCGAGGAAGGGCTCCTGCTCATCCCGCCCAAGCAGCCGGAGCTGGCGGCGGCGGCGGCGGCTCCTGCTCCGCCGCCTGCTGCTCCTCTCCCCGGCCTGGAGACGACGACGACGACGACGATGAGCGCGGCGCCCTGCGTGGTCGCCAAGATCAAGGAGCTGCCCTTCTCCACCATGAAGACGGTGGACTGCGTGGAGCGCAAAGGCAAGTACGTGTACTTCACGGTGGTGATGGCCGAGGGCAAAGAGATCGACTTTCGGTGCCCGCAGGAGCAGGGCTGGAACGCCGAGATCACGCTGCAGCTGGTGCAGTACAAGAACCGCCAGGCCATCCTGGCCGTCAAGTCCACGCGGCAGAAGCAGCAGCACCTCGTCCAGCAGCACGGGCCGCGCCTGCGGAGCGCCTCCAACTCCGCCTAGCCGGGCCCCAGCCAGGGCAGGTAGGAGCCGGGCGGGGAGAGGGCTGCCCTCCTGCCGCCGATCGCCCCGCTCCCCTTGCAGCCCTTCCCCAGCGCCTTTCTGGAAAGAGCCTTTCCAGACGGATTCCCTAACAATCACCTCTCTCTGCCGTCTTAGTTTTGCCCGGCGAAAAGTGCCGTGTTGCTTTCCTGAAGCGCGCGTCTGGATGGGCAGCCCGCTTCACGCGCGCGATGTTTTGCTAGGAATCATAGAGTTGGAAGGGACCCTGAGGATCATCTAGTCCAATAAAATAATAATAATATATTCTTTATATCCTGCCCATCTGGCTGGGTCCCCCCCCCCTGCACTGCAGGAATATGCAGCTGCCCCATGCATTGGGGTCGAACTTGCAACCTTGGCGGTTATCAGCACCAGTCTGTAACCGGCTGAGAGAAGTTGTGCATGAGGCTCAAGCATGAAAAACACGCGCAAATGCTCTCCTGTGGTTCGTGCACGTGTGTGTTTCATTAGCTGTGTGTGTAAAAGAGAGAGAGTCACTGGGTGACTTTCATTCCTTTCCCTGCACAGAAATCCTCTTCTGTAATTAAGAGTAAGGCTTGAAGCGCTTGATCGGATCCCTCTAGCAACCCTAGAGCATGTTGTTTGTCTTGCTCGCTGGACTAATAGCCTCAGTGGACAGCTCTTCCGGCCCTTCTCAAACAGCATGTGCTTGCAGTGTGCTGTGGCATGATGGATTCTTGTGCAGCTGCTAGATCAAGGCTGGCCCAAGTGCTTTGCCACCGGAGACAGAGCAAGAAATACCCTCCTCCGCAAGTCAAGGTGAAGAGCACCCAAAGTCAATCAGGTGAATTTGCAACCATGATTGCTGTGCTTTAGCGCACACCAAAAAAAATATTTAAAAATCCCTGCCCGTATCTGCAAATCATTCAGTTCACATGTCATGCTTCTTCCAAGCAATGGGGCTGAGAACAGTTAGTGACCCTTTGCATGTAACTGTAAAAGGAATTGCGGGTGGTGGTGGTTAGAGCTAGCATCTTCCTGGTGCTGAAGCCTAGTTGTGGAAATAGCTGCCAGAGCCTCAGGTTGTTGCCTCTTGGAAGGGCACTTCGCAAGAGACCCTGTTCTTTGTATTGTCACTGTTTTAGGTAGGAAGTGTGTCTGTGGCTGTAAAAGAAGAATGCTGCTCAGTTATTCAGATCACTGTCCTGTGTTGTTATAGATGGAATTCAAGCAATGCTTCTGGAAGCGAGGTGGACCCTCTCCATCGATCACAACCTTGGCAAACAAAGGGACTGCAGACACAAGGGAGAGCATCAGTTCTGCTGCTGGAGTCTTTCCACTTTTGGTACTGCCCATGATTACTCCAGGGAAGTGTTTCAACTCTTGTAACTTTGACTACTGCTTATGAAGATTTGAAAGGATTATTTGGCCTGCCGGGCCTCAAAAAATATAAGATTGTTCCTGCCATATTCCACCCCCACCCCCCCGATCTGTTTTCTTTTTTATGTTAATTTATTAGTGGAGACTTTTGAAAGGTATTTCTGAATGTAGGCCATTTAGAAAGGAATCACACAGAGAGTATAGTTGCATTGGCTATATTGCTACACTTGAAGGGAGGAGGAAGGCAGAGGAGAGAAGGTGATGTTGGAGAAATGAAGAGATGTACCAGAATATGGACTTTACAACTAGTCCCTCCCCCCCATGTCACTTTTTACATCCGTTTTCCGTTGCCACAAGTGAGAGACTATTATGAAACGAATGTGTGAAATATGTCCTGGAATATGGAAAACAATGACTTGGAACCTGATTTCTAGGTTGCTTTAATTTTTATTATATGTTCATTTGAAGAGTATTATATTTTGCATTCAGTAGTAAATGCATTTGGGTATGCCACTTGTATGTATTCCTGCTTCGTGAAGAGGCTAAGGAAATCTGACTTCATGATCAAGGATAATCGATTTAAAAATACAATCATGCTATGTTCTTTTATTCAGATAATAGAACCATGCAGAGAACTGTTCATTGCACTTCTTTGTTTAAGTTTGGGACCCTGTCTGTAATGTTTCTCAGAGCTGTTACTTGATTCTGTTCAAATCATTCTAAAACCTCTTCAAATGCTACACTAATCATCCCATCCAGTAAATGTCTTACTGTTTAACTGAGGAACTTTCCCAGAATTCCTGTAATTGAGTTCCCTAGATGAGTCTCAGCGCAACATTTTCCATTGCCCCCTGCCATAGCCTCTAAGAATATCGGACATTTCAGTCAGGGAGCAGCACTTATTTTAAAAAAAACTAAGCAAAGATTCTGCTTTCGTTGTTTGTTTCTATTTACAGTCTTAATATGGAACAAGTAAGGCTTCTAATAACATTGTTTCTTTTCAAAAGTTATTTTTAAATTGGTTCATTCAGTTACAAGGAGCCTAATGTAGTTAATTGGATAAGGGAAGGCCTTGGGTTTTTCAAGCATGTGTTGAACTTAAATCCAAACTTAACCAGTCCTGCATCAGGAGAAGACATTGTTGGGCACCTGCTGATACTGAAAGCATCGGTTCCTCTGAGTACCCAAGGCTGTTCTCCTCTTCGCTGTTAAAACCTGTTTACCCAAGCATGCAAGCACTCTAGGTAGATATCTGGATCGGGCAAGTGAATAGATTGCAGCAACAACCACTGAAGTCATTCAGGGAGGGACCTTATGAAGCATGCCTTGCCCAAAGGCTTCCCAAAAGCCAACCCTTTATAAAGGGTACCTTATGGTTCCTTTTAGCATTTCCAAGTTAGTCTAAGTCAAATAATGAGAACTTACTCTGCCCCCATTAACAACAGATTAGTACTGCAGAGCACACTCTGTTAAGAAAGCAGGTCTATACATACTAATTCAGACAAGTTATGAATGGCCTGTCTTAGGCTTTGGTGATACCCAGTGTTGGTCATACCCTGAGTAGACCTATTGAAATCAACAGGCTTAAGTCTATTGATTTCAGTGGATCTAATCTTCATGTCTGTTGACAGTATTCATGGCTTCTTTCCTCAACATTATCTAAATGGTGTTTAAATTTTGTAAAATAAATCACCCAGAAACACCAGTGGTTTCAGAAACAGGACTTAACATGATTAGTTTTGCCAATCTCCTTTTACCACCCAAATCACTGAGAGCCTCTCTCCGTGTCTACCTCCACTTCCACTGTTTAATGTTATGGAATGGGGAATTGGACCAAAATATTAAATTCCATGCTCAATTTCTTGAGGTTAACTGATGTTGTCATAACTTCTCAATACAGTGGTACCTCTGGTTACGAACTTAATTCGTTCCAGAGGTCCGTTTTTAACCTGAAACCGTTCTTAATCTGAGGTACCACTTTAGCTAATGGGGCCTCCTGCTGCCCCCATGCTGCCACCACGCAATTTTGTTCTCATCCTGAGGTAAAGTTCTTAACCTGAGGGTTAGCGGAGTCTGTAACCCGAGGTGTTTGTAACCTGAGGTGTTTGTAACCCAAGGTACCACTGTGTGCTGTGTTTTTTGAAAAACGGTGGCATAAGTCTTCAGTCATGCCAACTTTGGTTATTTTTCACAATGTATTGGAAAACTTTGATGCTAGCTAAGCCTTGTAAGCTCCGGCGGGAACGTAAACGGCGTTTCCGTGCGCTGCTCTGGTTCGCCAGAAGCGGCTTAGTCATGCTGGCCACAGGACCTGGAAGCTGTACGCTGGCTCTCTCGGCCAATAAAGCGAGATGAGCGCCGCAACCCCAGAGTTGTCCACGACTGGACCTAACAGTCAGGGGTCCCTTTACCTTTAAGCCTTGTAATGGTGGATTCAGCTGATGCTACTGTCTTTAATGCATGACTGACTAGGCTAAAGGCCCACATACATTACCCCCAGTCACCTCGGAACAAATTGTAGGAAAAATATGAGCTGTGAAGGAATCATGCTTATTCTCTGATATGAGGAATAAACATCTTCACTTTTTGAGGCCTCCTGTTGGGCGTATCTTAAGGACAAACTTCCTTCCCATCCCAAGTTCATTTTTTTGTACTGAGAATATGTGACTTGTATGATCAAGTTGGCTGTGGCTTTGTGCTTCTTTAGGATTGCTTTATTTTGTATTACCTTTAAGACTTAGAAGAAATATCCACAGGAATTGCTCCGCTGCGTCTCTGTTGCTAAGAAATGTCTTTGCAGTGTATGAAACAGAGGTCATTCCTAGACTGTTTGAGACTATGACAGAGGGCAACAACTTTAGGGTTGTCTCCAACTATGCTTTACTCAGAACACACCCATTTTAATTAATGAACCTCAATAATATTACAAGTTTCATGAGGAAAGGACAAATTTTACCAAGGAAATTCAGGGTATAGTTACTTAGTAATAATAAATGGTTTTGCACATGTGCTTTTTTGAGCTTCCCCTCCCTCTGTGTGATGTTCTGCATGATGCAGAGACCCCACAAATGGAGCCTGTTACAGTGGCTTCGCTACCAGCCTATCTCCAAATAAGGTCCCAGTGAAAAGTTTTACATTAGTGTTGCAAATTAATGGTGGGGGGGGGGAAGTAACAGGTAGGCCACATGTGATTCTCCTCGGATGAAGATAGAACTTTAATAAAACAAACAAATTTCCGCGTCATGGTAAACCTATGAACTGCAGAGGTTTTTCGTACTTCGCTCGTTCCTGAACAAAAGCAGGAGCAACCAACCACGGTCCCTGACTTAGAATTACATTGGAACTAGGGATCAGGGTTTCTTTCATGCCAAACAAACTACAATTTCGTATTGGCTTACTAATTGTGGTTTGTTTGAGCAAAACAAAACAAAATCACCGGCTTGGATTTATCATGAAGTCAGGGGTCATGGTTTGTTTACTCATCCTAGGGGAGGAGTGAAGCTGGAGCAATCTCCACATTCATTATAAACTTTATAATGACGTGCAAACTGGACATTTGTTTCTCAGTAGGAGAAGCCTGTTTTCAGAAGAACAGAAATCACCCCTGTGGTTTTTCTGTTACATTTTGGAAGTAAAAAAAACTCCCCACCCTTTTCTTTTTTAGTTCATTGTTTTCAATTACTGGCTTTTGCAAAGTAGCTGCAGTGATGTACCAAATGTTTTCTGGCACATTGTGAGCTGAAACAAGTGTTATCAAACAAAATATGTGTAAATATGATGCAAATGATTTCTGAGAGATGTGATTTATTTTTCAATATGCATTCCATTTCAAATAAAGAAATATTCATTGAAATGTTCCCTTGATATGGTATGAAAAGACTACATCTTCAAAGGAAGATGGAAACAAATTTTCTGGACATAATCAATAGACTGCTGTAAAGCTTACATCTGTGGAATATCATTTTCATTGATTCAACCGTTTTGAGGTCACGACATAGAAGGTAGCTTGTTTTTAAAGAAAATCTATAATTGGTTTTCATTAGAGAGAGGCCTCCTAAGAGAGAGGCTAGGTGACAAAAAACTAATAATTACAGTGGATCTTTTCAAGAAGGGTTTTCCCCCTTTATGACTCACTTGAATGCAAGGTACATCAATAACACTCTGCTCAACAGGACAACCTTCATCTGTAGCGTCTGTTCCTTTCCTCCTTCACAGCATGGCCCTTTTGGAGAAAATTGTGCTTGCCACAGGCTATAAGCTTTGCTTTCAGGTTGACTTTTTAATATTTCCATTATAGAAAAGAGTAATAGAGGCTGGGAGGTAGCGATTGCACAAGACCACCCAACAGGTTCATGACTGAGCCAGAATTCGATGCCATATTTCCAAAGGTCCAGGCTGAGTATGATGTTCATATAAAAAGAGGGAATTTGGTAGTTCACTAAAGTATGTGTTATTATGTGACTAGGAGCCATCACATCACAAGTTAGCTCATTTCCAGTAAGGAGGGAGGGGAAGACACTGAAAATACTGTATGTTTTGAAACAAGGCCTTGTCTGTCCATGCATGGCAATTTTCAGCACTCGAGCGCCTGGCATGCATTCAGCCAGGATCAAAACATTGTGACCTCCTTATTACCCAAGGGAATTGCAAAAGGAATTGCTTAGTCATCATCACACAGCAGTTCTGTAAATCAGTGGGAGGAATACATCATAGTCGTCTTGGATGACTGAATGGTGACTCTGGAACGGTTTCTTTTTCCTTTGCTGATAACAAGTCCCTAATCCATTCTATAAATGTTGGGAAAACAGCTAGCTCCAAAGCTTTGGGGGCCTCCCTAGAAACCATGGGCTACTTGCACTCTACTGCTGAGAGGGCTGCATTGGTTACCAATCTGTTTCTGGGCCAACTCTGAGGTTTTCAAGTTAATTCCCTAAACAACTTGGACTCAAAGTACCTTAAGGACCGCCTGAATCCTTACGCTCCCCACCCCTTAGTTGCTAAGATCTTTGGATGGAGCAATTTCGGTGGTCCCAAATGCCCCTGAAGGTGCAGCTGGACTTTACAAAGAATTGAGCCTTTACTGTGGCAAACGCTGCTCAGTTTTAGGCATCTTCTAAAAAAGTCACATTATTCACAAACCTTTCACATGTGAGGTTTTTGACGTCCAGCTCTTATTGGTGTGTTCGATGTTTTTATTGTTTTTATTGTTAATACTTTGTTTTTAGCCTGTATACTTACAGTATCCATGAAAGTACAGTTTGTAAATATTTAAATAAAGACACTTATGAGAAGAAGTATGTAATAATTTCCAAGCAGTCTTCTGAATTACAATGCGTTTTTGGGAATAGGTCGGTGCTTGCTTTCCTGAACTAAGGTTTATCATACTGCAGTGCACTGTACACCATTAATTGTATTATGAAAGACAAGCTAACGTGCATTTCCCACAGTCTAAATTACTTGCAGAGAGTCAAGAAATGTTTCTGATTCTATTCTGGGCCTGACAGTAAAAAGTCAAAGATAAGTTTGCTTGGAAATGTTTAGATCAAGGTCTCATTGCTCTGATAGTGCTAAAAATTGGAGGCTTTGATATCTTTGGGAAATGTAAACTCAGTACAAGTTTTTGAGCTTCCCAGTACTGCCCTTTAGCCAACATTTATTCCCCCTCCTTCAGTTTTCTTTCAATTTTTGCTGAGTTTTCTGTGTTCTTGCATTTCAACATGTTTATCTTCATGCCAGAAGCTACTACACTTACTTAATTTCTGGCTGTCACACAGCTAATAAAAACACTTTGGTAAAAGGGGAGGGGGGAATTGCAATGCTGTTTTTAAGGTCTCTGATGAGTTTATTCAACAAATGCACTTTAGCAAGCCATTTGGTCCCTTTGCATGTACAGTGGTCCCTCGGGTTAAGTACTTAATTCGTTCCGGAGGTCCGTTCTTAACCTGAAACTGTTCTTAACCTGAAGCACCACTTTAGCTAATGGGGCCTCCTGCTGCCGCCGTGCCGCCGGAGCCAGATTTCTGTTCTTATCCTGAAGCAAAGTTCTTAACCTGAAGCACTATTTCTGGGTTAGCGGAGTGTGTAACCTGAAGCGTATGTAACCTGAAGCGTATGTAACCCGAGGTACCACTGTATTATGTCAATTACATGCCTATTCACATGCCAAACAGCGGGAAGAATGAGATGGATATTGGTATTGCAGCAGTGAATGTGCAAACTCCACATTGCACCAAACTTCATTTCAGCCAAGGCCATTTCAAGTCATCTGAGAAGCTGTTGTGCAGATGACGCCTTAAGGTCGTGTGGCAGCACCTACTTTCTCATTAGCACAATGTTGCATTTGTCATATTTACAAATGGTTCCATAAAAAGATTGTGCGAAATGTGCTTCACAGGACTGTTATGGGAAGCAAAAGGCAAACTTAAGAAGTTGTTCACTCGCAGTTAAGGAATGTAAAAGGTCCCTAGGGTGTAGGATGACCTTTAAGTTCTGCCAGAAGACTGGTAAGACATATGCTTTCATTTAAAATAAATGTGTATCTTGCTCTTTCCCCTATGAAAACAAGAGCAAAATCGTGAAAAACTGCTCAAGAGCGTTTGCCACACAGCAATATCCAATTTGAACAAGATTTTCATGTGAACATTTTTCTACTGGCTTCTCCGTAATGAAGATGGCATTAAAGTTGTGGATGGCTTTCTAAATGTATTTTGTGGTTTTTTTGTATCTTCAGCGTGTACATTTTACCTTTGATCTCCTTGTCTTATGAAGGTAAATGTGTAGTTGCCAAGGTAATGTGACATTTTGAGCCTCAGAAAAGACAATGCCCTACTGCATGCCAGGGCCATAGCTAGGGGGTGGTGAGGTGGGCCCCAGCCAGGGGCACAGGCGATGGAGGGGTGCAAAATCAGCTAAAAATATGTCCATAAATATAAATATTGATTACTGCCTCATAAGAAATGGTTTTAAATAGAGGGTGAATTGAATGGGAGGGGGAATGTTGGACAAGAGGCAGAAAGAAGAGCTAATTAGTCTGTGGGTAGGGGGTGCAATCTGGACGGTTCTGCCAGAGGCGCAAGATCACCTAGCTATGGCTCTGCTGCTTGCTATGATACTGCAAACAATACAGTGGTACTTCGGGTTACATACGCTTCAGGTTACATACACTTCAGGTTACAGACTCCGCTAACCCAGAAATAGTGCTTCAGGTTAAGAACTTTGCTTCACGATGAGAACAGAAATCATGCTCCGGCGGCGCGGCAGCAGCAGGAGGCCCCATTAGCTAAAGTGGTGCTTCAGGTTAAGAGCAGTTTCAGGTTAAGAACGGACCTCCGGAACGAATTAAGTACTTAACCCGAGGGACCACTGTACCTTCATGTGCAAAGGGACTTGTCTCACCTCTGAACAGGGTAACGTTTTCATACAGGGAGTCAGGGAGTCCTACTTATCATTTTCCTCTTGCCTTTATACAAGATTGGATCGTGTGTTTTATTTCTCATGGGGCAGGCTACTTACTGGAAAGGGTAAGAAATACCACATGGAGTTTCTTTCAGAAGGCAGTGTGGTTAGATGCAAGGTTCTTGTAACTGATGGTTGTGGTTGCATTGGCAGGCGATAGTAACTTTAGGAGAGCCCTGAATTTAAAAAGTATGAGGAACAGTAACCTAGTTGTAAGGTTAGACCTTTGAAAACTGAATTGTCAACACAACTGTGCTTAGTCTATGCCCATAGATAGACTATATTATCGTCCAGCATTACTGTCACTTTGCTTGTGGTTGGGAAATATGGAGCTGGGTATTGAATTGCATATTTTGCAGCTCTTCCAAGAGCAATTATTTCATGTACAGCTAAAAGCTTTGAAAATAATTAAAACTCTGCTGCAAGTGACATGAGAGAAGGAGAGAGAGAGAGAGAGAAGTCATTCAATGACAGTTATGCTTCATGGCCTTCAAGACTCCTTTCCACAGTTCTTAAAAGCAATTAGAAGTAAGTAGCGAGTCTGGATTGTTCATCCCCTTTCACAGCTGCAAACTGAATGGTACTCATTAAGGTGTAATCTGGTTTGAATTTGCAGCTGTCTGCTTCCTAAGTTCCCTTTATTTTTTAAAATATCTATAGCCTCAAGCAACAATAATAAAGGGAAGAAAGAAGCAAAATAGCAACGATTTACCCTGCGGTATTTCCAAGACCTCTTCCTTTCATATGTATGATCATAGCTTCAATCTTATCCCACGCTTTTTATGCAATACTATTCTCAACAGAATCTTTAACAATATAGTTTCTGAGTACCATTTTAACACAACATATAAACGATGAATTAATGTAAGTGCATTAGTGGTAAAGAGAGCTCTGTTTACCAGCTTAGGTTGATACGCCATCTGTGACCGGTGTCAGTGGTTGGACCTGCTTCAGTTATTCATACATGAGTTACTTTCAAAGATGACTACTGTAAGCTACTCTTACAGGACTGGTTTTGAGGAAGGTTCAAAAGCTCCAGTTTGTGCAAAATGTTACTGTCCAGATGTTGACGGGAGCCAACGGGGCGGTGGGGGGTGTTTCCCCTGAACTCATAGCACCAATTTTGCACCAGTTGCATGCGTTAGTGGCATGTTCCCAGGCAGAATTAAAAGTACAGTGTGAATAACCCTTAAATTCCTAAATTGGTTTGGGCCAGGATAACTAAAGAACCATCAATCCCTGTATAATCCTGCCCATATATTAAGAACAGCTACGAAGGTCCAGCTTGTATGCCTGTCAGTAAAATCTATTAGGCTGGTGGCATGAAAGACAGATCCTTCTTGGTGGTGGCTCTGTTGTTATAGAACTCCCTTTCTGGACGGTGCTTGCTCATCTCCCCCCACCTGGTTCAACTGGGTCTTAAAAATGTGTCTGTTCCATGTTGCTTTTCCTTAACTGTGTTTCTTGAGACTTTGAGCTGCCTTACAATAGTGTATTCTTACGATTTGACCCTTCAAATCTTATTTATTTTTAAATTTATATATCACCCTTCATCCAAAGAGCAGTTCACAAGATAAAAATACAGGATAAAAATATAGCTTAATGTTTTGCATCTCATTGGGTACATGTCCTTGTGGGTGTTATGCCTTAAAAGGCTGGCTATATATACTTTAATCGTCCTAACCAAATGGTTGACTATTTTATGATATTCACTAAACAGGTGGTGGTAATGGTATTTGGCTGGCAATAAAGATATTTATACAAAAAATGATGGAAATAATCATAGTAACAATTTGCATTTTTTTTTTTAAAAAAAATCACCCTCCAGAATTCCAGTCATAAATTGTACATTCACATAAATAAACATCTCCTTTTGATAGCTTTGGTCTTTCCCCCAATCCAGTTTTCTTTCCAGCCTTTCAGTTTTAATTGTAGGTTTTAATCTACATCATATAAAGCACCTGGCTCCCTTTCTAATGGCTATTCTAATGGCTACTTACGCCTTTAAAGACCGGAGAAGTGTTTCAGCTGTTTCTGGAATACAGATTGCTCTGTTTTACACACGGAAATTCCAACTACATCTAACTTTCAGAAAGGCAATACTCCCTCAGCAAAAGTGACTATTGGAAGTGGAGTAAGATGAACCAGGGTAACACATGTTCCCAAGGTATTCCCAGTACAGAGAAGTTGAGGCCAGATGTATTTGAACATGCAGGAAAATCCTAATGTAGAAAAAGCCTCACGGGACTGCAGCTTACAGGACCTTTGGATCTCTTTCGCCCAACTGCAATTAATGTAAGTAGAAATCTTGGCTGCACTCCAAAAAGCACATACTTGGAGCCATCTCTCCGGAATCGGAGTAACATGTTCATTGTAATTAATATCAAGACTGCAGGGTAAAGGGCCTTTGACCAAGTATCAGAGAAAGCAGTCTAGGAAACCCAAGGAAAAACAGAGTTTGGTTTTTATCCCCCACTTCCACTTCCCTATGCCTTTTTTCTCCTAGATTGTGTCAATGTCTTCAACAGATTTTTACATGGTATGAGAGTGCAGATTCCTCTGTTTTTAACAGGTAAAGGTAAAGGGACCCCTGACCATTAGGTCTAGTTGTGACCGACTCTGGGGTTGTGGTTCTCATTTTGCTTTAGTGGCCGAGGGAGCCGGCATACAGCTTCCGGGTCATGTGGCCAGCATGACTAAGCCGCTTCTGGCGAACCAGAGCAGCGCACGGAAACCCCGTTTACCTTCCCACCAGAGTGGTACCTATTTACCTACTTGCACTTTGACGTGCTTTTGAACTGCTAGGTTGGCAGGAGCAGGAACCGAGCAACAGGAGCTCACCCCATCGCAGGGATTTGAACCACCAACCTTCTGATCGGCAAGTCCTAGGCTCTGTAGTTTAACCCACAGCGCCACCCACATCCCTCTATTTTACCGGGTACATCCCACCTAATTAATACAACTTCTGCACTTCTGCTTTTTTGGTTCCATATTACATTGATAGTTCATATGCACGCAAGAATCAACTGTGTGAATCAGCCTGGGAAGCCAATGTGGGGTTTGGGGTGGGTGGTTTCTCCGCACAAGGCGTGCAACATTGAGAAGATCCATACTGAGAAAGATCCACTTTGGCGCACCAAATGTGAGCCTTACACAAGGTGCCATATTATGAAAGATTACCAAAATCCACCTCTGACACAGGCAACCCAGCTTTTAGGAGGGGAGGCTAGACATGGCAGTTGTTTCAACCCAATTTGTGCAGCGATTCTCAGCTTGTGGAGAGTCCTTTGTGTGCAGTACTACATTGGATTGTTTAATGCGCTGCTGCAAATCCACATTGAGGATGTAAACAAGTGCCAAGTTCTCCACACGGCAATTGCTCCGCACAAATGTCTTGCTGAGCTGCAGTTATGTGAGTAACCTTCTAGTGGCCCCATTCCCACTTTCTCGGCATGAGTCCCGTAAGAAAACGGGGTGTGTGTATTTGTGTACTCTAATCTAGCCAAAAGCACTGGACAGTTGGTCTGCCTAAATAAGTACACTTCAGAGGGAAAGTGGATTTTTAATTAAAGGAAAAACACTGAAATCGAAACTTGGGCAGGTTGGCAATTTTAATTCCTCCAGAAAATAAGGATTCCCACAAATTCTTTTTTTAAAAAACAAAACAAACCAGCAGCCCATAATTCAGCAAGCAGTAATTCAGACATGGTGTCTGAATTAATTCAACAAAATAGATGACCAACAGTGGGATCCTAAACTCAAGAAAGAGGATGTCATACCACTTTAAAATGTACTTTATTCCCTGAGGGAACACTCACTCCAACTGCTAAGCAAAGCTGCTCAGTTTGGCTTCTATCATTTAGGACACCACCTACAATTAATATCTAGTTTTGTTAATAAACACACTACCCAGTTTCTCTTTATTACGGCCACAAGTTGAACACGGTACCTTCTGTGTTCAAAAGCAGATGTTCTACCACTAAGCTGTGGTCCCTCACACATACCTGTTTTGTTTACCATCTAGCCTGCTGAAGAGTTATGGAGAACTCGAAAACTTGCATGCTATTTTGCGACATTTTTGGCTTAGCCTAATAATGGCCCAATATGGATTTTTTATTGTTTATTATGGACTGACATTACTACCTTTACTTTTAATGAACGTTGATCTCTCCCATAGAGATCAACAACACAACGTCATCCTGGTCTCGTAAGAAGAAAAATAATATTGTGTTTAGTCACCAGTTGAAAACTTGTTTTGCATATATTTGCATTTGATACAGAGCAAGTAGTTTGACATTACCATTCTTTTCTGCAGCAATAGGTCAGAGGAAACGTATAGAAAATTAAATAGAACAGCATAGCTTATTGTTAACTGTCTGTGGACATCCCTATCTGTTTAATGAGATATTTCCAATTAAGGTTTTAATGGACAACCTGAAAATTCACCACTACAGTGTTAAGGGTCAAAATAAATTGTATATAAAGGAAGGACTGACATTTGGGTTTTGCAGCATTAACCGTAATTTAATCAATAGTATCCCACCCTGTTCCACACACACACACTTTTTCAAGAGAATTTTCTAGAAACTGTATTGATTATGTTTCCTTTGTTCAGTTCTTTAGCTTAGGCTTCTAACATGATTTTGTTGGCATCTGTCTGTCTCAAGAGACAATGAAGGAGTGTGCCTTTGGGGGTGAAGTCAAACCATTGAAGAGTTACAGCACCTGCTGTGGCTGTAGAGGCCAATACAGGAGAGACATGTTTTGTTGCAGCTGGTGCAGATGAAGGCATCCAGTTGTGCTGCTGCAGGGACACCATGGTGTTTCTTCTTTCTGCACTCCTCCCAGTGTTCATTCCTCCTCTGGTCATTGCTGTGGATACACGACTTGACTGCCTGTCTCCAGGCACTGAGGTTGTCTGCAAGGGATTCCCACATGGTGGGGTTAATGTTGCCAGCCTTCATTACATGTTTGCGGACATCTTTATAACACAAGAGTTGGTCTGCCAGCAGGTCTAGTGCCTGAAGCCAGCTCCTTGCAGAGTATGTCTTTGTGGAGCCTGCCATCTTTCATTCTGTGGACATGAACAAGCCAGTGTCGACATCCCTGAGACAGGAGTGCAAACATGCACCAACTAATTATTTAGAGGTAGTCAAATTGTGAATTCTGCAAAGAACCCTAAAGCAGGTGCTATTTATCCTTGCCTAAAATAAAAGATGCCCTGTCCACAGCACCCATGATTTAAAGTATCTAAAAAGAACACACCATTACAACTCGACACTTCTTCTTTTTTTGCCCCTTCCAATTGCTACAAAGCTTTCAAAGGCAGTTCTGCGTAAAGCACCTAGGAGGAGTCTAGTCTTTGAGGCTTCAAATGCATGAATGATAATTGTCCAGTCTGAATATCAGAAAAGCTTCTAGCTCACTTACCTGAGGGAGCTAGTGAATGCAACTCTTGCACACCATTACAGATAATGGGATTATGATTGTGCAAGTTGGTAGTGAACTGGAGCTGTGGTAATGCCTTCACTTTCCACTCCTTGTGATGCTATAAAGTCTTTCTGGTTATAGGTAGCCAGGGGCAGTATCAGCTTCTTCCCAGTCTATCCCTGACCAGTGCAGCACCCTCTGGAATTCGGTATTTTTTTAAAAGACCAGGCAGGCTGTCTTTCTTTCCTGTTTTCCCAAACCTTTGGTTAATTAAATAATCTATGGCCTTTTAAACTGTTTGTGTGTAGTGGGTTATTGTTTTTATTTGTCACTATGTTGTGTATTTTTGTATTTTTATATTGTAAACTGCTCTGTGATACTCAGATGAAGAGCGGTATAGACATTTAAGTAATTATTGTTAATAACAATAACAATAATAATAATAATAATTTATTTATTGTGTTCATCTTCATTATGTGTTTATAGCTCTACAAAAAGTCAGACTAACAAATTGGTGGCAAGCAGCAGCTACTTACTCGAATTATGAAAAGTCTTTTCATTTAGATAAACCTGTTTTGCTTTTGCATCTGTCTTTTCTTTCTTGAAATGAATCTGATGTTTGTGTTGCATTTCCCAAATGTAGAAATTAGATGAATCAGTTTCATAGAATTCTTTCCAAAACAGGGCCATTTCCCTTCTCTACTTTCTCTCCCACTCATCCCACCTTATTTCAAGTCAAGCATTTCCAAGAATCAGTGCTTCCTACTGTGGCCATTTTTAAAATATCAAATTGACAGCACAGCATAGGTAACCTTTATGATACATTATCTGATTTTCATTTTAACCAAATGATCTGTTTAGTAGTTGAATGCTATGGTCCCAGCTCTCTTAATCCTCACATATGTGCTTTGCTTTGCAAGGGTAAAGGTCAGTAATTATGAATCATTTCCTCCTACAGCTCCAGAAAAAGGTTTACAGAATGAATCACCAAGGAACAGATCATGGCTGCAATCTTCTCTGAAGGCAAGTCCCCAGGCCCTGAGGCCTAGACAATGTAAATAAGGATGCCCTTTAATCTTCTAGCTATCTAAAATACCCTCCTGCACTATAAAATGTTATGTAAGAATGCTGAGGAAAAGGGTGGCTACAAAATTCAGGAGATGTGTACCCTAAGGTGGCCGCAACTAAGAATGATAGTCATCATGCAAATCTCTACTTCTAACTATTGCATCTTGTACACAGCCCAATGGTGTGATTGACGGCTGTGCATAACTGACACAATCCTTGCACAGAGGTTTTATAATCTGTTACACAACGTAAAAGGACAGTTCAGGGTTGAAAAGGAATGGTTGTGGAGGAGAATCAGGAAGTTGTAGATATGGAGAAGAAGGGATGGTGAGGCAGTAGATCAGGAAAAGCTTTGCTAAAGAAGTGCTTTAAGATAGGCATGAGAAAGGAAAGGAAAACAGCTCGATTAAAAGTGTGAGACATGTACCTCAACTCCCTGAGGGTGAAGAATTTCAACGATTCTGCTGTTTACCTGGGGTTAGTTTCCTTATAATAAGGTCACTGGAGACATATGACATTTCCACCCCTGCTCAAATTAATTGTGTTTGTTTGGGCCCTGTTTCCCAATCTGTTAAGGTGATCTTGAATCCCGATTCTGTCTTCTGTGACATTAGCTACCCCTCCCAGTTTGGTGTCATCTGCAAATTGGATGAGCATCCCCTCAATTCCTTTGTCCAAGTCGTTTATAAAGAGGTTGAACAGCAACAGTCCCTGGACAGGACCCTGAAGCACTCCACTCACTTGTAACTTATTTTCATAATAATGAGGAACCATTATTTAGCACTCTTGGGGTCTGGTCAGTCAACCAGCTAAAAAAATCTACCTGTTACCTTGTCCGGCCCACATTTTACCAGCTTCTCCACAAGAATGTCATGGGGCTGGGGGAATCTGTCAAAAGCCTTACTGAAATCAAGAGACACTGCATCCACAACATTCCCTTGAGTCATGGAGTTTACTACCTCTTTGGATAGGCTCTTAGGGTGATATTCAACTAAGTCATACGTTGAGCATCCAGGTAATCAATTTGATTTCAGTGGGTCGTCTCTGAGTATGATAAAACTGGATTGTGTAGAGTAACGGGAGTAGGAGGGGAAACAAGTTGGAATAAATTCATTTGCTTTAGTTCTTCAATAGCAAATTGAAATACTAATGTATTTTGCATATTTATTTACAAGATCTACTGCACTGAATAATTGTGTGAAGGGAACACACACAAGAGGCTTGTGTGATGCAGCTTGATTTCCTCTGGCAATGCCACTGGAGGAGAACACTGAAGGGTTTTTGGTTTTTTTTGAGGGGGGAGAGGTTTCAAGGACACAGAAAAGGGGAAACTTTGCACCCCTTTAAATTATGAAAAGTGTGAGGGACGCCACATACGGCTGGGGGCACTTTCAGCCTCTATGAAGAGTCTACAAGCCAAGCATTAGAACTTTGAAACACTGATCGTTTGGCAACCCCAGGCTGGAATGATCTCTTGTGAAGATTCATGTGGTGAAATAAATGGTAGTTCAATGGAGAGTAAGTATACGTTTTGCACCTCAAATGAAAAAAAACTAGTCTGTCTTATAAGGTTTCCGAAGGGATCTCACATTTCTGAAATGGACAGCTGGCCTGTTCAATCTGGGACATGCTAATTAACCTACCCGTTATGTTACAACTTGAGAATATTTAACGAGCCGGGACCATAGAAATTGCTGAGGAATTTTGGCACAGTGGACAAGGATTGCCTTGTGCACAGTCAAATCCTTCCCACCTGCTGCCCAAGTACCAGACTATCCTGGCCTCAGTAGGATCATTAGTCAGGCAAGCTAGCATTTGCCCCCAAATGTAGAGAAACTTTATGGGATTGTCTTTTTTTTTTTTAAAAAAAGAACTATTCACACACACACACACACACACACACACACACACACACACCACTTTTCCTGCTGATGGGACTCAAGGCAACTTACAGATAAAATCAAGAAAGCAGCAGCAGCAGCAGCAACAACAACACTGCAGCTTAAGTCCCACAGTTCATGTCATTACCATCTTTGGTAGCAAATGAATAGACTTTTTATAATCATTGGACTAGATGATCCTCTGCGTCCCTTCCAATTCTATGATTCAAGAACATTTAAGATCATAGAAACATAGTTGGAAGGGACCTCAAAGGTCATCTAGTCCAACCCCTTGCAATGCAGGAATCTCAGCTAAAGCATCCATGACAGATAAGGGATTCAAGTTCGTTACGTTAGACACGCCTTCTGTAGAAATCCTATAGGAAGCTGGTGGCGTGTGGCTTGGGCTTTATTGCCAAGTAAACATGGGTGGCTAGGTATTGCAAATGATTGCTTCAATGTGAATTAAATGTGGCTGAATTTGTTCATATGGATTCTAAGTTCAGTATCTACCTTGATCCATACTTAAGTGTGTGTGTGTGTGTGTGTGTGTGTGTGTATTAGTCCCTCTACTGAAATGACAAAAAAGCACTGCAAGCGAGAACATTGAGTGCAAAAAATTGCTGCATCCAACATCAGTCACTGAGTGGGTCCTATCTGGGTCCATTCACAGTAGGAGCACAGGTGACATAAGCAGATTAGATAAATTTATTGTCATTGTCCGTATATACACAGTATACACAACAACGAAAATCAAACACCCACTCGAAGACCGGGTTCACATACACATTTGCACGTATCTCCAACACTCTCATCCTATTCAGACATAATCTATAAAAACATATCATACTCCAGAATGTAACATAACCTATTAAAAGCATAACATAACCTAAAAACCTGTCTCATTCCTTCCTACTCCCTGCTTGCTATTCCTTGCAACTGGCCCTGAGATCATTATTTAGTGCAATCAGAGCTCTTGGATAGAAACTATTCAGAAGGCGTGTGGTTCGTGTTTTCATTGTCCTATATCTTCTGCCCGAAGGCAACAGTTCAAAGAAGTTGTGAGCAGGATGGGTGGGATCTCTCAGGATATTGTGTGACTTCTTCAAAGTGCGAGACGTGAAGATCTCATCCAGGGTTGGTAGTTGGAGCCCAATAACATTCTGGGCAATTTTAATTATTCTCTGTAAAGCTTTTTATCCGTTTCAGAGCTGCTCCCATACCACGATAATATACTATATGTTAAGACACTCTCGATGGTACTGTGATAATAGGACAGAAGTAGGTGCTGAGATAGATTCAGTCCCCTGAGCATTCTCAGGAAATACAACCTCCCCTGCACCTTCCTCACAACCATATTAATATTTACAGTCCATGAGAGGTCCTCAGAGATGTAAGTGCCCAGGTATTTAAAACTACCAACCCTCTCCACCTCCTCGCCATTTATGTGCAATGGTAAAAATACGCTTTTCTTTCTCCTAAAGTCAATTATGAGTTCTTTGGTTTTTTGGTGTTAAGCATAAGATTGTTTTCTTTACACCATTGAATTAACCCCTGTACTTCTTTCCTATAAGCAGTCTCATCGTTCTCACTAATGAGCCCCACCACTGTTGTATCATCCGCAAATTTGATGATTGTGTTGGACTCATACAGTGGGGTGCAATCAAATGTGTACAGGGAATAGAGAAAGGGACTTAGCACACATCCCTGAGGGGCTCCTGTGCTTAATACTAGAGTAGAAGAATAGTAAGGGCCCATTCTCACTGTCTGCGGCCTATCAGTCAGGAAATTCCTTACCCACAGACAGATCTTCTGATGTATACCCAAATTGGTCATTTTAAGAAATAACCTGTCTGGCAGAATTGTATTGAAGGCAGAACTGTAGTCCACAAACAACAGCCTTGCGTAGGTTCCCTGTCGTTCTAGATGACTCAGTACAGTATGGACAGCGATGGAAATAGCATCATCAGTAGATCTATTTCTTCTGTATGCAAACTGGAACGGGTCTAGAGTGGATGGAAGACCAGCCTTAATATGATCTAGCACCAATCTCTCAAAACATTTCATAACGACAGATGTTAAGGCTATTGGTCTATAGTCATTGAGAGATACCACCACTGACTGCTTGGGGACTGGCACTATAATCGATGTCTTCAGGCAGGTAGGGACAGAACCCTGCAACAGGGATAGATTAAAAATGTCCGTAAACACACCAGCTAATTCTGCAGCGCAGTCCCTAATAGCCCGTCCCATGATTCCATCCGGTCCAGCTGCCTTCCTAATGTCAATGCTCCGAAAGGCACGTTGTACGTCACAGGTCTGTAATAAAAATGGTTGTCTATCAGTAGTAGTTTCTGATGATGTGCTGGTAGCCAATGCTGTAGTGACGGTAGTTCCAGTTCCCACCTCAAGGCGACTAAAAAATTGATTCAGTTGATCAGCCAGGTGCGCACTGCTGCTAGCCAGTTCGTTTTTAATATTTTGCCCTGTAATTTGTCGCAGGCCTTGCCATACTCGACGAGGGTCGGAGCTCTCAAAATGTTTTTCGATCCTCCGGCAGTACATAGCTTTGGCGTTCCTAATGCCCTTTTTCAATTTGGCTCTGGCTTCTCTATACTGTTGCGCATCACCAGAGTGAAAAGCAGCATTTCTTGCCTTTAACAGAAGATACACATCCCTGTTTAGCCAGGGCTTGTTGTTAGGGAACACCCGTATTTGTTTGGTGGTAGTGACAACATCAATGCAGCTTTTAACGTAGAACAGTACTGTTGAAGCGTATGTGTCCACATTATTCTCCACAAAGAGCGACCACTCGGTGCTCCGAAAGCAATCTTGAAGTTGCTCAGATGCACCTACTGGCCACACTCGTATCTCTCTAGTTGAGGTGTACTGGAAAAGAATCTCACCACAGTTGCATTTTGTAGCAGAAACTTAGGCCAGCCTCTGACCCCCGTGCCAGCTTGTTCTGATACATGGTACAGTGGTACCTCGGGTTAAGAACTTACAGTAATTCTTTCTGGAGGTCCGTTCTTAACCTGAAACTGTTCTTAACCTGAGGTACCACTTCAGCTAATGGGGCCTTCCGCTGCCAACATGCGATTTCTGTTCTCATCCTGAAGCAAAGTTCTTAACCCGAGGTACTATTTCTGGGTTAGCGGAGTCTGTAACCTGAAGCGTCTGTAACCCGAGGTACCACTGTATTTATTAATCTATAGGAGAAAACAGCATTTTTAAAAAAAACAAAACAAAAAGGTGTATTAGTGCATGGTGGAATATTACCATTTTAACTGGCACACATAAAATATGAAACCCAGCATTATAGAGACATTACTCATTGTATTACCGCACTGATAGCTGATTTGAAAAAGTGTCATGGGCTATTTTGAAAACAGTATCGCATTCCTTTCCCAGTGCATCATTCTACAGTGCTCATGACAAACCACAGTAATTGCTAGTTCCTAGAAATGATTGCACAATATATACATACTTTTTTATAAAAAAATTGAAAACACACCCATCTACAGCATATTAATCTATTCATGCATTAGTGAATATTTTTCATGCTTCATGGTTGACTAGGCTGACAGCACCGCAGAGACGTTCAAAATATGGCACAGATTTGGCCTTTCTCATATGACTATAAGGTGCTGGTGCTTCTCTTTTAAAGACCTTAGAAGCTTGAAATCTATATGTCTGAGAGATGTTTATTCATATATGAGCTTGTTTATCAAAGCTGGTTTATGGAAAAAATTCATTAACACAGAGAAAGAAACTGGATATGTCTGGATCCAGGTTAATATAGAAAACACCACCACCAGTGCACACTAAATACACACTAAACTGTAGTGTGCACACAACCTCACAAACCATGTGATGTGAAGAGAGACTGATGGAATTCAGCCTTTTATAGCTGGCATACACTGGACCAGTGTTTTAATTTTTTTATTGCTTTCCTAATATATCTAGCAGATACTCCACCTTTTTTTTGCAGCTTCTGCACATTGGGTCAGTGTTTCAGTTTTTCTTATTTTAGATTTTAGCAATCTAGGCCATTCTAAAGAGCTCTTTTTATTTCTCTCCAGATTGAGAAATAATAATTCATACTGAGTACTGTTGCAATGTTTGAGCAACTCTGCTGATTTCATCAGGAAAGTACCCTACTTTTATTGAGGTCAGTGGTACTGCCACACTGAGGACATGGGTCATCAAGCTAGTGGTGTTGCAATAGACCATATAAATATTTTTTCCCAGTTGTATTGTTTCAACATGGTATATCCTTCAAGGTAACAATTACTATGTTATCTCACACTCCATAGTCATCTACATTGTATTATTGAGCTATTTTCATATGTCACCATGTAGCTACCACTAAAAATACTACTTCCACTGACCGATCTTTGTATCACAGTTTTATCACTGGCTAGCATTGCCTAGATTGTGTTGCTAATTCTCACTGACCCTGGAATGAACCATATAATATGAGTTTCTCAGTTTGTTTGTGCTACAGATGAGATGCGGATCCCCTTAGAAGTAGCATTTTGGCAAGGATCATACCGTCATGAAAATCAGCAATTCCTAAATGCTTATCTAAATGCATATAGTCTTGGTAGCTCTTCAGATTGCTGAGGAACAAGATGTAGAATTACAGCAAAAGCTAACAAAATCACTTCTGAAGCAGTAGAAAACCGCTGTGGCAGGTCCTATAACAAGATAAACCTTATATTTATAAGCGTTCTTAATCTACACTTTTTGTCAACTACTGGCTTATCTGATATTTCTATGTCATTACTGAAGACATGGCAATGGCAAGGTACCGATGAATGTATTCATTATGGAAAAATATATTGGGCTACATAAATACAAACTCGCTCACTCACTCACTCACTCACACTCAAGCATTGAGAAGAAGGGGGGCTCAAACTGTATAAAGGGCACTTGCAGGCCCTGTCCTTATGTGTGTCAGCCCCACTCTTATTCTGTTCACGTGTTCACTTATTTGCAAAGCTAAGTGTCTGTGATTTATTCTAGCCTAAGTATTTTTTGTGAGGAATGTTTGTTTATAGTTGAATGTGGGCAAATGCAAATTTAACCATGTTTCAGTGTGTTTGGATCAATCACCATTGTGCTTAGCTCTGCTATGAGAGAGTGAAAGAATCTCTCTTCCAAATCTCTCTCCAACAGTTCCAACAACAGGAGTTGCAGTGGTCTAATTAAAGACAGTGCCCCCATATTCTAAAACATCATTGAGCCCAGGTGTCCTGTTAGGCCCAATGGGGGCCAAATTTGGTCCACAAGACCATAGCTCCCAGTACACATTCACCTGTCCCACTCTCTGCATCATATACTGTACAGGTCTTCACTTCAGAAGAAACTGCTTGAAAACACACTTAAAAGGCAAAGTCTCTCAGCTCCCATCAGCTGATGAGCACTGAGAGACAGCTCTTTGAAACCACTTGGAAACACAACTCAAAAGGCATCAACTGTATGATTTAGAAGAATAAAAATTAATCATGTGAAAAATGAGGCAAGGAATATTTGATTGGAGGGAGTAGTAAAGCGGCAAACTTTCAAAGCTTAGTTTTTCCAGTGGATAAGGT